ATCCCTTTTTCGTCCGAGTTAAGTCCTCGGACATTTACCGACAATATTTCAAAATTATTCATTTATCATTCATTTATATATATATATATATATATATATATATATATATATATATATATATATATATATATATATATATATATATATATATATATATATATATATATATATATATATATAAAGCGAATATAAATATATTTTGTGATAAAGAAAATTATGATAAAGATCTAACAATGTTTATAGATTTCATTTATTTTAAATAATTTTTTGATAAGTCCTTAAAAAAGAACTACGATTCAAACAGTTTTAAGACGTAAACGTTAATGATTTGTTATTTGATTTGTTATTTCTGCGGTTTCTTACCGACTGGGGCTTTTGAGCTGTGTTTCCCCGTTTGGATCTCATTTTGTCCGTCAGAATTTGACCCATAGTGTTCTTCCCAGGCCATGCGCTCATATCGGTGTACAATGTACCTTTCTTATCTAGTCCAGTCCCCCAATAGTCATCAAAGGCAGCTTCAACGAGTAGAGTGGATGACTCAGCAGAGGAAAGCTTTTCCTTGAATTCAATCACTTGATCGAATTTGGCTTCGATGACCTGACGCATAACGTCGTCTCTCTCCTGCAACCAATGATCCGGAACGGTCACCTGTGATCCAATACGTTTGGCGTCTAGCGCAGTAGCGGCGTTTCTGACAACTGAAGTGAACAAATGATGAATGCAAAAGCCAAATGTGATAGTAAGCTCAGTGTATTTAATTGTTCTGATGTAAATGGAAATTTATTATTGTAATACATAGAGATCAGAATTGCTGAATTGTTTGAAAAATACTTCATAAGATCTGCTGTATATCATATTCATTGTATAAATAAAAATTCTCTTGGGATTACCGATGAAAAAAAATACAATTTTTCTTCCAAGTGACATTTAAGGACTTTCTGCAATTTACCGTTTTTTTGTTTGTTTTTTTTTTGTTTGTTTTTTTTTTTTTTTTGTGAACAAAAATGGCCGTATCAAAGTTTTTCTCTGCTCACTCAGGAGTTGTAAATTCGTGCTTAACGTTCAACAAAACGACCAAAGATTTACAGGAATATTTAGATTTTAAAAAATCTCAAGACTTTGAGTCTATTACATTATCGAAAATTCTAGATAAGACTATGTTTTATCAGTTATGAGAGTGATTTCTAGTATATAATATAACTATTATGCAGTTCAGTGTACGATCAATGTAATGTTATAAGGACCCAAGAATAAAACATGGACTATATAATAAAAAATATTCTGCACTATACAATTATGGACTCTTTTGGTGATTAATATGGTTTCTCATTCACCAGAAAAATATCAATATTGACCTCAGTTTCACCTCGGTCAATATTGAATTTTTTGTGAATAACAAACCATATTCACCACCGAAAGAGTCCACATTTGTATACCTCATACACACTGACTAATGTCGACCTCGAACAGGCTCTGTCACTTTATATTGCCTTACAATGAAGGCCATAATCACCCCTACTTATGTGTTCGGAAACTTTTATTTTTCGGTGTGCTGCAAATTATAATAATATCCGAGAAGTTTACAGAAGCTCTGCAGCGAGACTTTTAATGGATAAAGTAAGTTGGTCAGGGAAGTGTAGCTAGAAAGTACTAACTAGCACGTGGAGACATGGAAAGCAGAAAAGTTATGTTACATTTCAGTTTTCAAGACTGCATTATATCAGTGGTTATGTACTTTAATGTGTCTAGAATTCATTCAAACATCATCATTACATGTAAGTATTCTTTATGAATTATTTCCTGCAGTTATGAATTAAAATTTCTTTTTTCACAGGAACTACATTTTCTGGCGTCAGACTGCTTACATACTAAACGAGGCCCCAACGTGACTTAAAACTGACAAATCAGCTGTATGTTTTGTTTGTTTGATTGTTGTTAAACGTCCCTCTCGAGAATTTTTAACTCATATGGAGACGCCACCTTTTGCCGGTGGAGAGCTGCAAATTTTGACCTATACTCAGGGCAGTAAGAGATCTTTTTCGTGCCAGTACCTACTGCGACACGGGACCTCGGTTTATACGGTCTCATCCGAAGGACCGGTCTCCACGTCCCACTGTGCAATTCGAACCCGCGACGTAAGGATCGACTCCTTACTCCGCGACTCAAGACGCTCTACACTTCGCCATACAATCAGCCGAATGAGTTAAATAGCATTGTTTTACCTTTAAAAATTATTTCCTATATAAATCTATACTTTAAAAAGTCTAACATTTCTAATGTTTTACTGAGCGGTCATAATAAAAATCGATGTTTGACCGCAGTGAGATATCGGACCTGTTGACGAGAAATTGGACCGCTTACGTCACAATGTGGGCGTGATAAGCATAATCTCATTTGCATTCATTGGTATGGAAGCCAGAAAAGATGCACATATAACAAAAAAAATAAATAAATAGATAAAAGGTATAACAAAACATTTATTGACTGTGTTCTCGGTCAAAATGCGTTTTGCCGACCCCTCGAACCAAACCGCTTGCCCTGGGCCTAACGGCCTCAGGTAAACAGTTTGGTTCTTGGGTCCGACAAAACGCATGTTGCCCTCGAACCCAGTCAATTAATGTATAATATGAGTTACTTCGAGTAGTACAGGAAAACAGGAATTTTACGTTTAGAAAAGAGCAAATCTACTTGCAATTGCAAAAAAACACTATGATCATTTTATTTCATATTATACATAAAATCAATATGTTCATTATTTTCTATTATTTCCATGCTCACAAACAATTATTAAAGAAAAGTAGAATTCTATTTTTCTCAAAGCCATTCTGTGAGACGATTTGCGTCTGTCTATCGGTGAAAACTAATCGGCTTGGCCAAGATCAGGTGCCCATTTCCAACTAAATGATGTTATATAGATGTTACTCTTTATAGTTACATCCCATATAAATATCTTTTGTTGTAGTGCAAAGATCAGAAAGAGAGCTTTGCATTGGTATACAATATAATATTTGTAGTGTCTGCATTTTTGAAAAGACAACAGAATAAAGTCAAAGTTTCATTATTTTTGAAGCGTTATGCTGGTGCACTTGATTTTTTACATTTTAAAAAATTGTTAAAAATAATTATTAGGATCATTGATTTAAGAATCAGTAGAGAATCATTGTTTTGTACATATTTAGTAAATCTAATTCCACATAATTCTCGTTTAGTTTATTTTGACCAATCAACTATAGGCGTAGGTAACATAAGGAAAATTATGTATCTCTTTCTCCATGACTGGAGAACCCACAGTACATATTACATTATGATATAAGAGGTTCTGACCAAAACTTTCTGAAAATGTTGACGGGTGACATACATTAAAAGTAAGTTAAGGCATATTGTTCATCTTTTCATTGGATTTCCTATTTTTCTGGATTTTAATTAGATTTGGTAAATTTTAAGAGCCAAAAATATTTTTAACGACATTGGTCAAGTCATGGAGAGATGGAGTCATGAACATGTAAGCTGAAAATATGGCGTATGCACAGGCACTTGTTCTTGACCCAAAGTTTTATTCTTATACTATAGATTCAGAAAGAAGGTACGGTTTGGGTTTATTTGCCCTAAGAATTTAATGTTTTCAAAAAGTTATGGTATTGGCTTAAATATGAATTAAGTATATGAATGTGATAAATCATGAACGAAAACGGCATGAAAGAGAATAGAACCATTCTGGAAATATGACGTCATTAATTTGGTACAATTCTAAGTTTTTTACGGAAAAAGCCTCATAATAACTCATTTCTGGAGTTATATTCCTGAAGAAAATAGTGTCCACAGCCGTCGCCACTTCAATTTTCGGAAATGTTGTGTAAAATCCTTGGAAAAAGCACATTTGTAAAAATCTTTATGGGCGATGTTTGTGCTCTATATTATCTGAAAAAAAATTCCACTGAAAATTTGTCTTCTGCAACTTTTTAAGAAAATACGGGAAAATGAACATGTTCTTGACGTCACAATTAGCATTTAGGAGGACAAATGAGAAAAACGATTCGTTTGTTCTTACTGCATGGAATTTCATAGTTTTAGTAAGCATGGGTTTTATTTTTTTTTAAATCACTTTCATATTTTAGGAAAATAGATGGCCAGATTTTGAAACTGTACCTTGTTTTCTTTTGTAGAAACAAGTGCCTGTGGGTGTATGTTAAAAATTAATTTTTTGAAAAATTTTTAACATTTGATTGGACAAGTATATCGAAGTAAAATGTAGTATACGGGTATACTGGTAAACAATTCGTGAATATTCGCTATGGCCAGACATAGAATGATCACGTTACACCTTTTTATACAAACTGTACTTTAATTTGCTTATCTTCAACTTTTTGTGCGAGATCCAATGTTTTGAATTTTGTAATTATAGGAATTTCTATCACTTTGGCAAAGAAAATCTAAACAATATATTATTTTTTTTCTTTCTCACAAAAACAAATTAAGATGACATAAATTAAATATCTTCAAAAAGGCATTTGCAAGTTCTGTGTTTATTTTAAAAAAAAATTTCTATATGTGATATACTGTTAAGTAACATCTCAGTTGTCGTATATATAGTATGCGGATTTTGCAAGAACTGCGTATCATTCTCAATCACACATTTCCTTTAATTGACTGCTTATCATTGTTTTGTGTACAATATATGTATAGACCAACGAATGTTGTCAAATAGAAGCATGTATAGACCAAGGAACGTTGTCAAACAGAAGCATAAAAATCAACAAATGAGATCAAAATGGATGTATTCAGATCTTCTAATTAGGAAGTAATGGCCAAATACAAACCTTTAATGTAGAATCTTTACATGTCCATGAACATTATTTGATGTGTAATAAACATTGATTTACATATTATGTAACTGATACATAGAAGGACTCAAAATGGGTTTAATTGACATAAAAATGACCCACCTAATTGATGTAACAACTAATATAAAATTGTCAAGTCTATAAGTTTAAATGCTCCATATGCCGCTAATTGAAGGTGATTATGAAAGAGATGATTCTATGTCTAAGACTTTAACGGAAATGAAGGACGGTGTTGGTGGTGTTTTGGGAGACTCGTATTTTGTAGACCAGTCCTCGGACCAGCCTTCTAAAAGATCCTCTGGTGAAACGTCAATATGTCACGTATGGAAAGAACTACTGGACAACACGTCAATGCACGGCGTCAGCCGGATATTCCGCCGGAAGACCATTTTTCATGGGTAAGATATTTTTCTCGTACTTTTTTATTCTAACGTAAAAGCATACACAAAGAATGTATTTTCCACTTTTAACTGGCGTTGAACAATTTTAAACTACTCTCTGTCAATCGATTTTAACCCATTTGCTAAATCTTTAGAACTATCAGGATAGGGAATGTAAAGAGCGTAGTGTTTTTTCATCCTAGGACTTTTGTTATCCTAGGACTTTTGTTGTCCTGTTTACGGTGTTGTGTATACTGCTTTGATCGCCATATATCACCTGTCATAATTGTAATTTGTTTTAGAATCTCTTGGACTATTATGATGGTGGGTTTATCTTAGAATTTTTGGACTGTTTTGATGGTGTTTTTTTTCCATTACTTTTTGGAAATTATATTTTTTTTCTTCAGAATATTTTGGACTTTTATGGTGGTGGGATTTTTTCCCCCAGAATTTTTTGGACTGTTATGACGGTGTTTTTTTTCAGAATTTTTTGGACTGCTATGATGGTGTTCATGCTTGTTTGCCTTACATTGGTCCTCGTTGCTTTTTCCACGTCGTATTTTTCCTACGAAACACTGATCAACTTCAAGGTGGAAATGGCCACTGATATGGAATTTCCTACCATAACCATCTGCAATGTAAGTCCGATAAACATTTCAAAAATTCAAAACGCCAGTGTCATATACGAATACCAATTAGCTAAAGAGGGGTATGGCGAGAGTTTTGGAAAGGAAATTAATATTTCCGATCCAAAGTACGCCATTTTACATGAGCCTAGAAACGACTCCTGGTTGATGGACACAAGCTTCGATCTTAGATCTATGATATTCAGTTGCAAGTTTGCAGGAAAAGAGAACTGTTATCAGTTTATAGAAAAAAGAAAAACGGACGTTGGTATGTGCTTTTCGTTCAATGGCCCGTCACAGAATCCTCCCGCTGTAAGCAGAATAACCGGAAGTAAAAAAGGACTGTCGATGTTTGTAAACTTGGACCAGGATAATTATGTCGTTGGAAATAACAAGGGCGCTGGATTACAGGTAAATATTAAAACTTGAAACATTTATTTTTTTAATCATTCTTAGAATGATATCATGTTGCGTTATGGTACTCCAGATTAACAAACTAAGCTAAACATATTTAATCGTTGTTACTTCGTTTCGTTTATAACAATTGTAAACTATTGTTTTTTGAAACGTAAACTATAATGCATAATTTATTAATTAAGTATAGTTTTTATCTATAAAATATAGATATAGTTTATGAATGATAAACAAATGAAATCTACCTGTGAATAATGTTCAAGATTATTGTTATCTACAGCATCATTGGTAAATGATGAATATCATTCGTTAATATAATTAAGTAATGTTTATATTCACCAATAAGATATGATTCACTTATTTTTAGCTATATATAGCAAATTTAAACTACAACCATGGGACATAATTATTTGCCACTTCAAAATGGCCGCCGTACTTTTTTACATCGCGCACCTTGATATTTAGGATCTGTTAAACAATTAATAAATGCCTATATTTTTTACCTCAATACTTTGTTATATTGCCTTTTATCTTTAATACTTCATTTAGTCTGCCAGGAAATGTCTTATACAGGTCCTCAATGTAGGAGGTTGGTACATTTTCCAAGCAAGTCCGAATTTCCGCCATAAACTGATCTTTTGTTAATGAATTTGGCACGGGTTTCCAGTGTTCTTTTTATTTCTAACCAAATGTTCTCGATAATTTTGAGGTCAGAAGACTGGGCTGGCCATTATGTTGTAATTATTTTGTTATTTGGCGATGTATTCTTCTACTAAATTTGCTCTATGAACGGAGCGTTGTCGTCCATAAATACATACTGGTTATCTGGAAAATGTCTCGACTGGCTAAAACGGTCAAAGGTTGTTGTCTATATTTCAATATACATTTTCTTGAATTTATGTTATCTTCTACATTAGTTAAAGTTTCTATTCCTTTAACACACATACTACCCCAGATCATGATACTCAGATGTCGCCAAGATGGCTGACACACTAGATGCGCACTGTACTTTTCCTCGTCTTTTCTCCAGATATAAACTTTCTTATTTTTTCCAATTACTTTCTGGCTTTCATTACTAAACAACCATTTATTCCATTCACGATCAACAGTCCAATTTCTCTCTTTGTACCACATTTGTTGGCCTAATAGGGAATAGCGACTTTTATCTTGGAAACCCTCCGTAAGTAACCCAGCTCTCAGTGAATTTTTTCTTTTTATAGTTCTACTACAAAATCTATTTTTTGTTTTCCTCATTTACAATATCTGTTATGTCTTCGTAAGTTCTTCGTCTGTGTCCTTTAACTACAGGTGAAATTTTTTTTCTCTGTCTGTAAACACTTTCTCCCCCCCCCTTTCCTCGTCGATTTTCTACCTGTCCCGTTTCATTAAATTTTTTCACAATACTACATATTGTAGACCTAGGAATTCCTAATAATCTCTCCAATTCTGATGTATTTCTGTTCCCTCTATACGTTTTTACAACCATACTTCTGACGGGCGTATCTAGTTCTTTTCCCTTCCGACCCATGTTGTTTTTTACATAAATTTATCGACAAACAATAAAGCAGACGACAAAAATATTGTGTATACGTCATGAATTTTAGTATAGACGAATTTCACATTCGTAAGAGTTTTCTCCCGATGTCGGCGTAACGCTCATTTTTCTCACTATAACCTTTGTAACTTACCTGTAAATATTTCCAATCTTTAAACGCTATCGGACAATTTTGATCCTTTTCCTGTATTGCCATAGTATGGGGCAACATAAAAAACATAACAAACATATTCATACAGATTTCATTTGTAAGACATTGTCTCATGAAGTTGGTAATGATATAGAGGGAAAGTCTTACGCCGGTTGACCCCAGATTGACCCCGCAAAGGGAAATAACTTTTGTAAATGTGAAAGTCGTCTATTACAAAGATAAAAATAGAAAAGGAAAATCTATTGCTTAATAACAGCACCCATAACTACTTCACCGAACATACGAGAAAACATGACACTCTCTGCGCGGAAGTGGCGAAAAATAAGTCCCTTGATCGTCTGTTTTCGTTAGCTATAATAGTAGATTGTTAACTACACATATAGCTTACTAATCGTGAATCTTTATTTATCTTGCAGATAGAAGATATTTTGAACTTGAAAATAATTGTATAATTGTTTTCACTATTTTAAAGTATAGTTCCCTTTGCAATGTCCTTGTTAGCAATATTGCATTTTTATGAGAAAATTTTAAATTACCGAACAATGGTTGCAGGTTGCGATTCACCATCGAGATGTTGAGCCTAATATGGTAGATAAAGGCTTCTTAGTTTGTCCTGGCACTGTCAGTTATGTGCCGATCAGGAAAAGCAAGGTACGAAAAGAAAATGTAACCAGAAGCCATGAAATACAACTGAAGTAGATTTGTATATGAAGTTTTTTTTTATTATTATTATTTTTTAATTCACACAACATACATAACATTATATACATACATCAAGTTTCAGAAGCAGAAGTGTGTTTTTATTTTATGAGAGAGAGAGAGAGAGAGAGAGAGAGAGAGAGAGAGAGAGAGGGTGAGAGTTAAGAGAATAGTAGGTTCCACCTGTTCCACTGGGTATCAAACTTTTCCTTTCCACCATTCTTATAAGAAATAAATTTTTGTGTTTCATAATGAAATTTCATTTGTGATATTGCAGTATGTACATTAATAGGTTTCTGGGTGCATCTTGCAGTATAAATATAATATTTAAGCCAAAGAAGAATAGCATTTTGAACATCAGTGTTTTCATCAATAAACCCTAAAATAAAAGATTTCTTAGTAACTCTAATCTTTAGACCTGTCTTATCTTCAAGTAAATGAACAAATTCTTCTAGAAAAATTTGTGTACTATTGCATTCCCACAAAAGGTGTTCTATTGTTTCCTCCTCAGTGTGGCAAAAACTGCAGAACTTACAGTCATTTATCTTAATTTTGAATAGGTATGAATTTGTTGCTAAAATTTTGTTTATAATCCTATACTGGAACCATTGGACTTTACAGTCTTTTGTTACTCTGAAGGGTATTATGTGAATTTTTTTCCATTCCTTAATTTCAATTTCTAGAAGCTCACTCCAATGTGTTTTACCTGCTGCAACAGAAGAATTTTGATTAAGGATTTCATAATAGCATTTTGATTTTTTACATTTCATTACTGTGTAGATATTTGACATAACTAATGGGTTAGCGAGCTTTTTTATTGTTTTTTCCTTACCAGAATTTTTCATCCAAGCCTTTATAGCATGAATAATACTATTGTATTCTAAAAAATTAATCTTTATATTTGGATAGGTGTTACAGAAACACTCATAAGTAAAGAGTGAACCATCCTCATTTATGATATCATTAAGTTGTCTAATGTTACTGTCAAACATTTGTTTATTATAAAATGGTTTTCCACCGATATGTAAATGTGGATTGTAAAATAATGGTGAGTCACCAGCAACATCAAACTTTTTTTCAAGGTTTTGTAACATTATCCATGACTTAAAAACATCTGTCCAAAATTTATTCTTCAATGTTTTTAAGAAGGTTGTAGTGTATTCAATTCCACAACTTAAAAAATTGTTCAAATTGAATTTTGGAATGAGGTGTTCAATCCCCCTATTTGTAAAGATGAGATGCCTTATCCAAAATAATTTCATGGAAGCTATAAAAGACATCAGATTTAACATTTTCAAACCTCCATCTTCATATTTTTTTACAATTACTTCTTTTTTTACTCTATGCGTTGAGTTATTCCATATAAATGAGAAGAAGATTTTTTTCCAGCACATATCATAAATATATATGGTGACAAAGGATCGCCCTGTCTGCAACCTCTCTGAATGTTAATTCTATCAGAGAGATTACCACCTTGGTTTATTGCAGATGTAATGTCTGTATTAAAAAGCGATACCCACTTCTTAATTGAGGGACCAAAGTTAAAAAAGTTAAGTGCACCTTGTATAAAGCTCCATGATAAAGTATCAAAGGCTTTTTCAAAGTCAATAAGTAGTAATAGTCCAGGTATATTTTCTTCCTCAGTGTAATGCATTATGTCGTAAATTAGCCTTGTGTTTTCTCCTATATATCTATTGGAAATGAAGCCTGTTTGATCTTGATTAATTATTTTATCTAAATAACATTTTACTCTGTTAGCGATAGACCCAGATGCAATTTTATAGACGGTATTTAACAAAGTAATAGGTCGCCAGTTCTTTAAGTATTGTCTTGGCTTGTCACCTTTTGGTAACAAAGTAATGACACCATGTCTTTGTGTAATAGACAGACTGTTATTCTTATATCCGTAATTAATAGATCTAACTACAAAAAAACCAATATATTTCCAAAACATCTTGAAAAATTCAGCAGAAAACCCATCCGATCCAGGGGATTTATTTGATTTCATTTTGTAAAGCGTAGAAGAGGCCTCCTCCATAGTAATTTCGCCCTCTATAGATTCTGACTCTTTGCATGAAAGCTTAGGTATTTCTTTATTGCTTAACTTGCTGAATAAATCAATATTTGTATTTACTGTACTTTTTGTATATAACTGTTCATAAAATGATTTTGTTTCCCTCAAAATTTCTGATTGGTCATAAATAACATTTCCATTATTATCCTCCAATCTTGGTATGATCTTACTAGTAAAGTTTCTGGATTCTAGTGTACAAAAATAATGTGATGGTTTTTCACCTTCCTCAACCCATTTTGCTCTACTTCTGATATACATGTATGTACCCTGTAATTTATGTTTTCGAATGTTCTCTAATTCTTGCTTTTTACTACACAATTCATCGATATTATTTTCACTAACATTTTCTTCCAATGTTCTAATATTTTCTATTAATTCTTTCTCCTTATTTTCATTCTTCTTTTTGATATAAGTTGCATATGAAATAGTTTTACCCCTTATTTCAAAGAGCAGGGTTTCAAGGAATAATTGATCATCAATAGTGAAGAAAATGTCTGAATCTAAAATATTATTTATGTTATCAAAATTGTATACTGGAATTGCATATTGTTTTTTAACCTCCTAGATAACTTTTTTGATGCATTCCAGATATTTTTCATCATAAAGTAAAGAGTTGTTAAACTTCCATAGACCCCTTCCTTTCTTAAAGTCGTTAAAGGCTATAGGCAATGATATCATGGAGTGGTCTGATCTGTAGCTAGATTCTACAGTACATTTTTCTAAACCTGACAAAAGGGACTCTGATATTAAAAAGAAATCTAAACGACTTTGTTTCAAAGGAGTTTTTCTTCTCCAAGAGTATCTACGAACATTTTCATGTAATTGTCGAAAAGGGTCAATATAACAATTATTTTCTATTATTTCCAAAACCTTTTCTCTTGCCTTTGGATTATTGATAGATTTATAATTATAATAATCTAATTCTGGGTTTAAAACTAAATTAAAATCACCACACCAGATAAAATTACTACAGTGCATATCCTCAATGTGATTTTGTACGTTTTCATAGAAGAGTGGTGTGTCATTATTAGGACCATATATAGTGCATATCAATACTTCATGTCCCTCTGTACATGCTTTAAGCAAAATATAGTTTCCATCAACATCACCCTTTTCTGCAAGGGGTTTAAAATCAAAGTTATTATTTATCAGAATTGCAACTCCCCTGGAGTTTGTAGTATATGAGCTAAAAAAGCACTGATATCCCCATAAATTTCTTACTTCATTTTCGATATCACAGGAAAAGTGTGTGTCTTGCAAACAGTAAATGTTATATTTCAACGCTCTTAAATAATTGAAAACATCCTTGCGTTTTGCAATATCACCTAAACCTTGGCAATTTACTGATAGAATTTTAACCATTTGATATAATTACGCAAAAACGTTTAGATACCCAACGGAACCATGGAGGTGAATTCATGATATTGAATATAAGTCTACTATAGAGATAGAAAGAAAGAGCACAGAAAAAGCAACAATACAGTAAGTCAGATAATGATTATCAACAGTTAAAAAAAATTCCACAGAAAAACAAGTTGACTACCGTGATCTAGTGAGTCACTGTTTGGAAAAAAGTCAATGCTTATGACACCGGATAAACATTACTGTCAACTAACGTCGGTGGGAATACGGTCGGATTTTTTAGTCCCGGATTTGTATATGAAGTTAATCAATTTACTAGATGTGTTAAATGATTTTTTAGCGAACGGGTGATCAGGGCAATAAATAATCGCTTAATAATCACCTAATCATCTAGCTTATGGAAGTCTCCGTAAGAAGGAAAATAATCAAGTACTGCACAAGTACCTGTACTTCATGCAAATTTTAAAGTGCTTAACAAATTATTATTAAATTGAATTGAATTTAGTTCTTCAAGTTTCAGTGAAACTTCTGATCTCGATCTCGATTTAATGTATTCCAAAAACTTGCCTAATACGAAATTCTGTTTGAAATGTTGTCTTATCCGGCGGTAGAGCGTTCGCTCCGTGATCGAAAGATCCTGTGTCCGAATCACGGCCGACCTAAGTCGATAAAAAAAATAGGTAGCAACTGTTCCTTCGCCAAGCGCTCGGCACTTTGAGGTTAAAGTTGCAGGTCCTTCGGATGAGACCTTAAAAACCGAGGCCCCGTGTCACGGTAGGCGTTGGCACGATAAAGAACCCTCACTGCTCAATGGCCCTAAGTGCCGAGTAAAGTTCTAAATTTGAAGCCCTTCACCGGTATATGGTGGCGTCTCTATATGAGTGAAAAATTCTCGAAAGAGACATAAAACAACATACAATCAATCTAATCCGGAATGTTGTCTAATCCGGGTGTAACGTAGAATATATATTGACCCGGGCTGAAAATTGACCCATGGTTCATTTGTCAATGTTGAATACTTACTCAAGGATGTTTTTTCTCCGTTGGAAATCGAGACAAAAAATCGTGGAATTTGGGTCATTTATCAACGTCTTGGTAATTTATTGTTGCGGCACTTAAGACATAAATGGGTTGAAAAAGACCCAGTTGGATATTGACCCCCAACTACAACCCTATGTTCGATCTGTAAGTTGTTATGATTTATATGTACATGTAACTACTAATATATTTATCAGTTTCATAAATTGTATTATTTCTTCTAGCACAATAATAAGATTGGACTGAATTCAGGAAACCTATAGCATCCCGAAAATACAGTTGCTGTCAGTACACCTTATATCTTATTTCATGATTGTCTTTGATAAAGGTTATTTAAGATACTAGAATGACCATCTAAAGAACCCTTTATCGCCACCCCACCCTCTTTCAGGTGTTCATTATGATATAAAACTCATTGTTAGCCGCGAAGGATAAAATTGCAGGAGTTAATTTTTTTTCAAAAATTGGGACAAGATGTGTAGAATTTTATTCCTGTATCAATTACACAGCTGTATCAGGCCCGTAGGAAGCAATTTCACTTTGAGGGGGCACAACCATACATTTTTAGTTTGGGAGGTACTATGAACTACCAAAATTCCTTGACAAGCAAAAAAAAAAAAAGACATTATCATTGAGGAGGCACAAGCATATAGCATCTATGTTTTCTATAGTATTCTAAATATCGGCAAAATTATTAGGGGGGGGGGGGCACGCCCCCCCCGTGCCCCCGGTTCCTACTGCCATGTGTATATACACATACGGCAACAGAAGAGCAAAACTGTACGACAAAATTAACCAGTTTTACAGTATTTACCTGTATGTATTTGATTGCGATATAAATCTGTAAAAGAGCAGAATTCATATCCATGCATAACTGATTTACCTACACATCCCAAGGACATCTACATGTGATTAGCAATCTGCTAGAAGAACTTGTATTTATTTTTTATTTATTTATTTATTTATTTATTTATTTATTTATTTTTGGAAATCCAACTTATACTCCAAATACTCCAAGGTTTACTCTTTCTAAGGATAGTTTTTCCTCAAAATCACGCTGCTGTCTTAACATTCAAATCAACGAATTCGATTTATCCTTTCTATGCTGGATTCTTAAACTTCATACATGCAGGTTCCAGCAAATGCTCTAACAATCCCCTATTTTTACTTCTCACAAAATTTTAACTGTTATGAAGAAGAAACTTAAGAGGTACTATGCTTCAACATATTCATGAAATTGTTTAAATGATATAAATTATGGATTTTAAAATATCTGCCAAACTTTTGCATTTTTAAAACATTTAAAATCACATATTTTTTTTCAAAGTCAATAACACCAAAACGTATGATTTTACAAAACTTTATAAAGCTATTCCTTACGATGATTTAAAGATTACATGTTTTGATTTCATAGAAATATGGCTTCTTCAAGAAAAATGGAACTCGGGAATTTTCCTGTTTCGTGACTAGTCATTATCAATTAATTTTAATTGGGGTTCTTTTTTATGTACTGTTCACAAATTTGTATTATTTTGGAGAATTTTGAGATCATTCACTGTTATTTCCACCTTTTACAGCTTGGTTGAAAATTACGTATATCGGTATATTTTGTAAACTTAAGAAAATTCAGTTGGTTGATCAAACCGGTAGTTCAGCTTATAAACTATAGTGGAAAGGGCTACTTCTTCCTTTTTCAGTTATTCCATTCATAGAGAAAGTTTACCAAATAGGTCTATAATATTTTAATTAGACCATATGCAATTGTCATTTTTGTTTTCATTTCATTCGTTTTGACAGTTGTAGGACATAAATAAACGAGAAAGGGTTGAAATTATTGAATAGCGATACCAAAAACAAAATAGGTGTTTTGAGCTGTTGAGTGAATTACGTATGGAGAGTCTTAATAATATACAAGAGCTAAAGCTGTTGTGTAAAATAAAATAACTTTCAATTTTCAAACTGGATATAGTATTGTATTCACTAAGTACGAATCTGATGTTATTTTCCCGGTTTTTTTTTTTTTTTTTTTGTTTTTTTTTTTTTTGTTTGTTTGTTTGTTTGTTTTTTGTTTGTTTGTTTGTTTGTTTTTTTGGTTTTTTTTTTTTTTTTTGGTTTTTTTTGTTTTGTTTGTTTGTTTGTTTGTTTTTTGTTTGTTTTTTTTTGTTTTTTTGTTTTTTTGTTTTTGTTTGTTGTTGTTGGTTTTTTTTTTTTTTTTTTTTTTTTTTTGGTTTTGTTGTAGTGGTTGTTTTTTGTTTGTTTGTTTGTATTCTTTTTTTTTTTTTTTTTTTTTTGAGGGGAGGGGGGGGGGGTGTTAAGCTTCGTAGATTGTCCTTTCACCGGTATATAAAAATACTATTGCCTGTGGCGATAATATGCGACGATAACATGCGAAACGTGTTCACTATACGTAAGTGAAAAATAGTAATATATTGATTGTAAATTAAAGCCTTTTTTGTACAGTTTAGAAATGAAATAAAGTAATGTATATTTTTGCGATGAGTCTTTAGAAAATTCGAGACCTTCCTAAAGTGCTATATGTTTAGTATAAATTGACCATTTTGCACTGAACATGTATCAGTATTCACGTTAATCTAAAAATAAAAAAAATATATATTCAGTGAACAGCTCAGTAGAAAGGAAAATCTATTATAGTTTTGTTTTTGTTTAATTTTTTTCTGTGTGTGAAGGGGGGGGGGGGAGATTAAACAAATTCATTGACAAGCAAAGAGACAAAAAAGGTCATTAGAGTAACGTTCTTTAGCTTTGTTTCCTATTGTATAGTATATGATCACTATATTATTACTGATATGATTAATGGAAATGGTCACACCGTGCCCTTTCCCATTTCCACTCATCTGGTTCCTAGGGGTTAAATATAAATTTAGGGATGGCAATTTATAACCGGTTACTCGGTCGGAACGATGGTAACCGGTTAGAAAATCTGTAATCGGCTAAAAATTAAAAATATGTGAAAAAATCTGTAAATTTCTTTAAAATTCAATTTCAGATTGTAAAAAAAATATTTGAATGTTAAAGTCATAACGTTAAGACATATTTATTTCGGCTGATTTGGAGGTAAATAATTAAAGCTCTCCGGATTGAGATCGTTAGGGTAATTGGTCAGTTTATGAAGTGTTAATTGTTATTTATAAACACCATGTCGTTACGCAGATTGTCCTGCGTTCCTTTTATGATATTAATTAATTCGCCGTTGAGCACTGTGAAATGGTTATAATGTGTATCTTACCCCATCTATCCTTGGCAGTTATCTGTCAAATTATATTTTTAAGCAAACATTGTAAAATTAAGTGACAGTTCAGCTCAGTTTCTGTTTATGATGACAATGCAGAATGACCTTTAACATCTGGTTTGAAAAATTCTAACAACATCATTGTTATCTCAGGGATGCTTCATGGTTTTCTCAATTTTCTTTTTAGCTCACCTGAGCCAAAGGCTCAAGTGAGCTTTTCTGATCAAAATTTGTCCGTTGTCTGTCGTCGTTGTCGTTGGCGTTGTCGTTGTTGTTGTTGTAAACTTTTCACATTTTCATCTTCTTCTCAAGAACCACTGGGCCAAATTCAACCAAACTTGCCACAAAGTATCCTTGGGTAAAGGGGATTCAAGTTTGTTCAAATGAAGGGCCACGCCCTCTTTCAAGGGGAGATAATTAGGAATTAGTGAAAAAATAATGGCATCATTTAAAAATCTTCTTCTCAAGAACCACTGGGCCAGGAAAGATGAAACTTATGTGGAAACATCCTCAGGTAGTGTAGATTCAAATTTGTTCAAATCATGAACCCCGGGGGTAGGGTGGGGCCACAATGGGGAATCAAATTTTTACATAGAAATATATAGGAAAATATCTTTAAAAATCTTCTTCTTAAGAACAGCAAAGCCATGATTGGTCATATTTATATGGAAGCATCCTCAGGTAGTGTAGATTCAAGTTTGTTCAAATCATGACCCCCAGGGGTAGGGTGGGGCCACAATGGGGGATCAAAGTTTTACATAGAAATATATAGGAAAATATCTTTAAAAATCTTCTTCTTAAGAACAGCAAACCCATGATTGGTCATATTTATATGAAAGCATCCTCAGGTAGTGTAGATTCAAGTTTGTTCAAATCATGACCCCCGGGGGTAGGGTGGGGCCACAATGGGGGATCAAAGTTTTACATAGAAATATATAGGAAAATATCTTTAAAAATCTTCTTCTTAAGAACAGCAAAGCCATGATTGGTCATATTTATATGAAAGCATCCTCAGGTAGTGTAGATTCAAGTTTGTTCAAATCATGACCCCCGGGGGTAGGGAGGGGCCACAATGGGGGATCAAAGTTTTACATAGAAATATATAGGAAAATATCTTTAAAAATCTTCTTCTTAAGAACAGCAAAGCCATGATTGGTCAAATTGATATGGAAGCATCGTTGGGTAGTATAAAATGAAATTTGTTCAAATGAGCGCCCCCGGGGGTAGGGTGGGGCCACAATGGGGGGTCAAATTTTTACAAATGAATATATGGGAAAAAATCTTCTGCTCAAGAACAGCAAAGTTATTTGTTATATTGATATGAAAGCATTGTCAGGTAGTTTAAAATCCCCCATCCCTCTCCCCCCCCCCTCTCTCCCCCGTTAACTTTTCAATACTGAACTGATTTTTGCTTTTTTTCCTAGCCAGTGTACTCAGGTGAGCGATGTGGCCCATGGGCCTCTTGTTATTTTTGAAATTGATAAAAACAAAATATATAAAGTTTACGGCTCAAGCATGAATAGAATATTTATTTATCAACGTCTCTTTTTATTTTTCTTGTGTATGTGAATATGTATAGAGTTTACTCTAGAAAAGAGGAAAATGCGTATCTATTTTGATTCGATTAACCGGTTAATCGGTCGGAACGTCTTGTGGTTAACCGATTAGTAATTCTGTATTCGATTGCCATCCCTAAAATATATACATGTGTTATATACATGTGTAATTTTCAAATGAATAAATCATGAATTGTATACGCCAGTTTATTTTATATGTGTTTTTATGCTGTTGAATTTTGACCCGGTTTTGTGATGAAAATTCAACATCCCGGCTCAATTTTCAACAGGCTAGGGTCTGAATTCAACGCCGATGGTCTCAATATTTAACTTTGGAAAAAGAATGCCCCCCCCCCCCCCCCCCGGTCAGTTTTCAATCCGAGTCAAAATTCCACGTTACACTGGCAGGTGTCCAGATTAGACAACAGTGTGTCCGGATTTGACAAGTTTTACTTTATATAATAGCATTATTTAATTTTTCCTAGTACACATATCTGCCGAGGCCATACAAAGCATTCGGAACGAATTATTGTACAAAAACTACAGATCCAGATTTTCAAAATCCATTGAAACATTATCCAAAATACAGCCATTATGCTTGCCTGAGAGAATGTCGCTCCCGCTTCATCTATAAATTCTGCAAATGTCGTCTGATAACAGATATTGGTAAGACTGTTTTTAATTATTGAATACACCATGATAATTCATAATTATACTAGTGCATAAATTGGACCTAAATATACCCAGTTTATGTGAACTGCATTCCAACTGCCTTTGTAGTTTAGTAGCGCAGTGTTGTAGGCTGTGACGTCATAATTGAGCTGTTAAGAGACGTAATTCTAAGAGATTATGAGTTTAAAAATTGTTCAAAGTGGTACTTTCACTGTGAAAAAATCACTATCAAAAATATCATGTTCATTCACAGGAAAAATCACAGTATTTTCACTTTGATAAATGTAATAAATATCCATATCTTAACAATAGGTGACGAAATCATCTGTACCATCGCCCAGGAAGATAGGTGTGCTTTTGGAACGAGAGGTTTGTTAATTGCATAAAGAACTTTGTTAATTTCATTCTTAAATGATAAGAACAAATATACATGCTTAATTTGTGGATATTCTTGTTTGTTCATTTAGTTCCTAAATGATGATAACATTTACACTCCGGACTTTTCTATATTCTCATTGACAGAATTACATTTACATGCTGAATATGTATAAAATCTCATTGATTTAATTAATAATAATATATTTTTGGTGCTTTTGAACATGTAAAATGTAAATATAAGGAATGTTTTTAAGTTAAGTGTGAATTATTGGTGTGTAAATCACACAGAATTGCACGTAGTCATATTTTTCATGAAGCGCTAACGCGACAAGTCTGTGTGATTTATACCCCAATAACTCAAAAAAAAACTTAAAACATTTCTTAACTATTTAATTACCAAAATGATAAGAGTGGTTACATGCTACTTTTTAGATGTATTTGATGGCAGTCCCAAATTTCAGGCTGCGTGTAATTGTCTCATACCATGTGAAGAGGTGGAATTTGAAAAAGAGATCTCGTCTGCCCAGTTTCCCTCAGAAAAATTCCGAGAAGTACTATATAATCTCTATAAGATTGAAAATATCAGGTATCATTGAGAATTTTCTATTAAAGGGAATTCAGTGAATACATGTTAACTAAGATATTTCTTCACAAACTCTTTAAAAAATAATCTTATTTTATTACAGTACGAATTACTTAGAGCTGAAATTTTATTACGATACATTTGTAACGGACACAGTTGAACAAGTTCCAAAGGTAGACATAACAAGCGTGCTTGGTACGTAATAACATGTACATATAATTACACTAAACATGGAAAACAATATAATTTAAAGATGTTTACTAGTGTACATTGCAGTCAATGACAACTTATCTCTCCATGAAAATCAATCATTGAACTCCATGAAAAAAAAAATAAAATTATTACATGTAGATAGAGAAGTATCTCAGTTACGAAAAAAGTAAAAAAAAAAATAATAAAAATAAAAAAAGCTTGCTTCCTTTTCAGGAAATATTGGAGGATATCTCGGGATCTTCCTAGGGGCTAGCTTACTAACAATTACAGAGGTGTTCGAAGTGGTTGTCCTCACAGCGTGCGTGTTTCTGAGGCGTATCATAAGACACATCAAGTGTTTCCTTACCAGAGTAAAGCAGAGAACCAATATGGTTACAATTTCTACAGACACTACCAAATAAAACTACGGCACTACCAGAGTAAAGCAGAGAACCAATATGGTTACAATTTCTACAGACACTGTCAAATAAAACCTGTGCCCAATAATGCTCCAGAAACTTAGAATAAGTCTCAATCCAGACATGTTTATTAAACTTTTATGTTCTATAACATAATACTTGTAGTGATTTTTTACTTGAAATATCATCTTTAAGACGGACCTACATAGAGCAAAGTACAAGTTCATTTCGTTAAATACAACTGAACATGCTTGTAGTAATACAGTCAATAGGCTACTAAAATATTCAGTAAATTAATGAAGTATTTATTCCATGACAACATATATGTCATCTTTTGGGTTATCCGCTTTCTTTTTTCTCTTTATTATCACTGTGATTGTGTGCTTAACTGCCTGTAGGATGACCTGAGATAACTCGACTAAACTTAGAATACTAGCTCCAAGGAATATACCCATGTAGCCACCAAGATTGCCTATAAATGGATAAAAAGTTAATTTATTGCACATAAATGTTTGTTTTCAGTTTGTACTACATGTATTGTACATAAATTCCTAGATATCGGAAAACAACTATATACCTAAAAGACTAAGTATGTTCATCTTCGGGATCTGTTTTCTTCTCTCTCTGATCAATGAACGGTAATATATGAACACGTGGGCAAAATTTTCTCTACAATAGGAATCGATTTACATGTAATGAACAAATGATGAATGCAAAAACCACGTGTTACATTAAATTCAGTGAATTTATTTGTTCTGATGTAAATGGAAATTGACTACTGTAATAAATAAATAACAAAATTGCTTAATTGTTTGAAAAATAATTCATAATAGTTTGCTGTATTTCGTCTTTATTATATATGAATAATTCTTGGGATTTTACCGAAGAAAAAAATTACAACTTTATCTTCCCTAGGTGGTAGGGACTTTATGCAACAAATAGTTTTTCTTCTAGGTGATATTTAAAGACTTTCTTCAACTCACCACTTCTTTTGTGAACAAAAAAAGGCCGCATCAATTTTTTTTTCGCTCACTCAGAACTCGGAATTCGTAGACTATGAAAGTGTTTAACGTTCAAAAACGACCAACCTTTACAGGAATATTTAGATTTTAAAAAAAACAAAGATTTTGAGTCTATTACATTATCGTCAATCCTAGATATAAGACTATGTTTTATCAGTTATCAGAGCAATTATATAATATAACAATTAAGTACTTCAATGCACGGTTAATATGTGGTTGCAAGGACCCATGTCAAGCTATATTGACCTCATACACAGAGATTGATGTTGACCTCGCAGGCTCCGTCAATATCGTTTCTGTATTTTCGGTCAATATTTCTTAAAATGGGTTCACCTGATACTACACGGAAGACCATAATTGTATTATACAAAACTGTTGATATCTCGTTTTTTTTAGCTTGGACTTTGAAATAATTATACAAACCTGCTTATATTTTTTCCATTGTGTTTGAGCATTGTTGTTCTTTTGCCAAGCGTTACAGACGATATTTGCTTCTCAAAATATGTTCTTATACACGATCTTGGACATGAACATATATCTCTTTGTGATTGTGTTTGTTCAAATACATCTGAAATCAAGTTTGTGTTTTTAAGTCATGAATACATTATGCATGCATGTACTTTAAAAAGCATGATCATTCTCTTTCAAGTTTATATGTACTTTTTACTTTGAGATCACGTATTGGAATGTCTTATTCCCCATTAAAACCTTCACACACACACACACACACACACACACATACACACACACACACACACACACACACACACACACACACACACACACATATATATATATATATATATATATATATATATATATATATATATATATATATATATATATATATATATATATATATATATATATATATATATATATATATATATATACATACATATATATATATATGATTCTTTTTTTTTCAATTTTGAAACGTACTGTAAAGTTTTCCTCTAGCTCTCACAACTTTCACAACCCTTTAGCTGTGTTCGAAGATATAAAGCAGCTCACCTTCTTGTTTGAGAACACAAGTATGCATCTGGTGAAAAGAACAAAGTTTCTCCGATCCTGGAAAAATATATAGTCACGACAGGAAAATTAAGTGAACTTAGTAAATTCTATTCAAATATACTAAAATTTGTGACAAAAAGAGACACACCTTGGTATGTGTGTCCTCTACATCCACAGTGACTGATAATAAATCTGCTCTTACACTCTCGGACACAGGCGCGATGGCTGTAGATCTGATGGTGCTGTAAAGGGGAGTTTAAGTTAGGACTGGTGACGTCCACACAATGACCGTCAGTAAAGGCCAAATAGGGAGCAGGTAAATAAACGTCCTGTAATATTGTTAAGGATGCATGGGTTCCAAAAGCGTATTAAATTATCATTTTTTTCTGAAACTCAATATCCTCAATTCTTCTTTCAAAGAATAACACGACTTGCCACCAAAGGTTTTGAATAATTGCAGATTTTTCGAGAGGAAAAAAGATCGCAATGAATTTTGAACTATTTTGACATTTCCGAATGTTGAATGTACTGCGTTGAAAAAAAAAAAATCAGAGATAGATGGAGGATATATCTGAAATACATGTATTAGATAAATCAAGCATATGTATGAAGCGTCTGTCATGAATACAAATGTAACTCAAACAAACTATCAAAATTACTTGTTTATATTCGAGGGCTACTTCTGTTACTGTTTCGGGGCCAATGAGGAAACTGTCAAGGTTCATGTTGGGTTCTTCATCTTTAGGATGGATAGCTACCTAGATTAAATGCTTTGTATGTAAGATATGAACATATTCAAAATATTTTAATTCAGGATCGCTTTAGGGAACATACATACACTCATTCCAACAGCCATGCTTTCTGTGTGCACGAAATTATCCTGGTCAATATGCAGCAAGAGAGATAAGCCATGGGATTTCCCAGGATTAGAAGTCGGAGACAGAACACTGTCGTCTAACATAAAACAAGGCCCCATGTCAGTCAGTTTTGGTATCATCAGATCGAAGCACTTCATCATTTTTTCTCTGTAACTACAGGACAGAAATGTCTCGTTCACTTCAAATCCGACATAGTTCAACCAATTGTCTATTCCATCCTCGTGTAAAAAGGTGTTTTCCGGGTCACTGAAATTAAGTTCGATTCCAGCAGAAAGGGAACTAGTTTTGCTCACAAATGACAAGTACCTAAGAAATGATGTATTGTTTTGAATTTTTGAGAAGTTATATTTAGATAAGGGACAAAATGTAACAGGAGGAAAATCAAGTTCTTCCTTGAGTTTAATACTCATTGTAGTTAAGGTATTCAAGTCACCATAGTATGCAAACAGCAAAGACGCAACCACAATGAAGGCTGTGAGTATGGCTGATGTTAACACTGCCCAGAAAACACTGTGGAAACAAAAAGTCTCTGGAAATATTGAAGCTCTATTTATGTGAAATAAACTGATATATTCTGGTGTGAAGTATTACATTTTTGTAACAAGATTCTATTAATTGAAAAAGAATTCTGAAGTAAATTGAAATAATTAAAAGGATTTTTTCTATTCATTGAAATAAAATAAGGTATCCATTTCTACTTTCATTTATATTAGTCATAAGGGGATAAAAACTTCAATAAGAGATAGTATTTGAAATTATATCAAAGTTAGATTTTAAGTTTCATTCAATTCAAACAAACACTTTAAGCAGACGAGTAACATTTTAAAACTTTTCAGCTATATATATATATATATATATATATATATATATATATATATATATATATATATATATATATATATATATATATATATATATATATATATATATATATATCATTACAGTTAGACAAAAAATATGAGAAGGATAGTTAATCCGCATTCAGCAGATGATTACATATGAGTAGCCATGGCACATCTACGTCGAAATTTATTGAACAGAAATACCATTCTAATGTATTTGGTACACGATACGGACAAAATCTGTGAATGGACTTTTTTTTGTCTTTTTTCGAGAAGAATAGCCAAATACTACTTTTGCATTTCTTTTGGTCATCCACCAGCAAAGTTAATGAAAAAAATAAATAAAACAAAAGAAAAATAGGGTAAATACCAAGGATTTACGTTTACTCGGACAGCTTAGTCGAATAGCTGGATGCTTTAGTCGAACGATAGTCGTACTTTTAAAATATTTTATGCCAAAGTTTTGTCATTTTCAGAATATTACAATATTTATTCCACGCTCCCATCATATACCATTATTTACATGTGTCCAGTTCCTGCAAAATCATTAGCCCATAATTTGTAAAAAGTTTACTTTTCTTTCTATCAAATTATACGAGGGTCGATCAATAAAAAATGCAATAGGTCATCTAAAAGTAAGAGAAGTACATAATACATATTCTAAATATTTTCAATCCCTCAAAACGTTCCCTATTACCCTTTACGCATGTCTTAAGTCTTTGTACCCATGACCAGAAAACCTCAGCATACTCATCTTTAGGGATGCCCCAAAGACACTGATGAATATCACTTCCCATGACATATCTAATATTGTACAATCTTCCTCTGATTGTTTTTATGCGTTTACTGGACCTCTTAAAAAATGAAAACTAATAAAACATGCTTGGGGTCCTTGTTTCTCTTTACAATAATAAGAACGATAGGTTTTTCTTTGATTCCACATTTTATTATTGATCTTCCTTTTTGGCTATAAAAAGTGCACCAATGTTTCGTCATCTATCATGCAAATTTAACAAATTTTCTATTTTGTTAAAATATTTGTTTTTAAATAGACCGTTAACACGTTTAATGTGTTTTCTCCTAGGCAATTTAAAAAAAAATAAGGCACTTATCTAATATTATTATATTCATTTCCGTTGTCAGAATTCTATAAAATGTTGTGATGATGAAATGCTTAATGTCTAAGCAATGTCTTTCGATGTAAATCTGACATTTTCAGATATCATGTTGCACATAGCATAGATAATTTTTGGTGTCCCTGCAAATTTCAATCGACCAGTTTGACTGTTATATTTTAACTCTCCTCTTTTACTTTTGAATTTCTGAATCAATCTGAAAATTAAACAGCGTTAAAGACTATTCTTTCCACATATAAAAATCACATCTTAAATATACATGTAAGTTCTTCGGCGATTAATCTAAAGAAGCAGTTTTCACATACGCTCTCATTTTCATCTCCTTGGCAGAGATCATTTTAGACAATTTTCAGCTCAGTGTATTTACCATGCATACTTTAAAAGTGAATTACTTTGCAAGGAGAATAGGAAAAATCATGGGGTTTTCTGTGATTAGAAGCTCTTTAATTGAACGCTTCAACTGTGAAAAAATAAAAGTAAACAGATCTACATTTACTATGATATACTGTTTGTTGCATTATTTATTGAAACACCCTCGTATAAAATTTTAATTATGAAATGCTGTTATAAAAACCAATACATTCAAAAAATGAATTGACATGAAACATGAGAAAAAAAAAAACAACTGTAAATGCTGAAATATTTCCTAAATTACAGGTACATGTTTGCACATGATTAGGCATGAAAATATTCTATTGCGAATCGGAATTTTGAAATTTGAAGCTAGAATCCAAATAATTTTATAAGCCCTCTCCATTTTCAGCACTTGGAGGTAGAAAATCTATTACGATTTTGTTTGTGGTAGCATCCGTTATTTTTCGGGCTCTTTACCTTGGCGATTTTGCGGAGAACTTACGAGAAAAGGTTCAATTTAACCTCGAATTAGACGGATGTCGGTCTTTAGTCCTTTAAAATGATATAATAAATTTTATGTTAATAAAGACACAAAACATCATTGTAGCTTCAAGTAATTTTAATTTTTCAGTCTTTCCACCGTGAAAGCTTTAAAAACATGCCCAGACAGCAGATTTTGAAGATACATTGTATGTTTGACGATCAAAAATAAATCTACAAATATCTCCTTATTACTAAGAACAGTGACCTTAGAACGGTTTTAAGCTTTTCTCTTACGCGGGTTTATTACGAAAACACTGATGCAGAATAAGGAAAATAAAATTTTATTACCTCGAACTTATGTTTACTATAAAGTAGCACATTTTTAACGAATAACCGAGTAAAATATATTTAGCTGATAGTTGGTATGAACGAAGGATAGTCGAGTACTCGAACACGAACTTGAAGTGAAAAAACAAAATAGTAATTCTGTTACTGAAAATGGCATGCTATTAAAAATAAAATTGTGACATTGTAATAAGTTGTCGTTTATACTTTTAATTTCTCTATATAGCTGTATTTCTCAGATTCCTATATTTATTTACCAGGAAAGTCGTGACCTTTCTGCCGTAATATGCGCTATTCCGTGTAATGTCGTGGTAGATCTGTAGTCTCGCCATATGTCTCCTATAGATCTACTGTTCTCTAAACAAAATTAATTTATAAGAATAAAACATAATGAGATAGGTATGAGTGATGTAATGAAGGGTTTGGTTAAAATCTTACCTTTTACATTCTTCATATCGCCCTTGATATAGCTTGAAAACTCAGAATATTTCTCGGTTTGACAAGTCAACAAGCATCTTCAGGATAGAATGTTTCTACTCTATTTCCTTTTTAACGGAAACTGGCAAAACGTTTTCCGGCAAGGGCAAAATTAGAAACACACACTTTACACTAACTTGCACTAATTGTATATTTTACTGCAGTATCATATTTGTATTTTTGAACAAAATAATCTGGGATACGGCTTTGTAGTAAATGTCCAAACTACTTAATTGTGAAATATCATTTCTATTAACGATTTAAACTCACCTCGAATTAACTCTAGGAAAGAATGAAAGCGATTTAAAAAATTACATGTATATATGTCTTACCTTTTCACGACACATTTTCATAACTGGTTTTTTTAAATATGTCAATATTCAATAAATACAGATAACTCTAATAAAAACAAATACATTTAAGATATATAACCTATTTTACTGTATAAGATAGGTTACATATGAACATATGTAACTTAACATCATCTATAAGAAACAAATTTGTTAAAATAACATACATGGCAAACAAATATTAAATAAGCTTAAATTATTTTAAACAGAAGAAATAAAGGATTACTTTTCTGAGAAATTTTCCTTGTGGCCAGAGAACAGAAACAAAGGGCTCATGGGCAACGTTGCAAACTTGGGCCGATTAATCAGATTTTTTGTGTTGCTGTTGAAATATTTCACTCCACATTAATAGGACTAATGTGGCTTTGCTGTTTTGGAGAGAAAAATTCATCAGATTTTTTCGGTTTAAATATAGCGTCTCAGACTTTAAGAAGTACATAAAATATCTTTAGGAATATTATTACAAATGTTCTGTCAATATGCAATAAGGTTTTCATTCAGAAAGCAATTTTGGAACCCAAAAAGTTTTTGAAGGGGATGGGTGTTTTTTGTTTGTTTTGTTTTTGTATCTTTGTGGAGTTCAATAAGACCATGTTATTTAAAGCTCCCATCAGATCTTAAGCAGTAGGAAAATCATATTTTGGAACATGTTCTATAATGCCTTAATGTTGTTAATGAGGTTTCGGAATATGATTATACCCACACTGTGAGTCAATTGGGGGGAGCCTCCCCCAATAAAAAAAACTTTCAAAAAATTCTTCGTTAAAAATGGTATGGGTTATATATTAAAGGACATCATAATACAGTGCTACATGTAACTGCACATAAGTTTTGTCTTTCAATGTATTCTCCTTCTAACCTGGGTAATTTGATTGAAATTTCCACTATCTTGATCTAAGCTAACATGGCTAATTTAGCGTTCACAAGGTTGCATTACACTAAGGTGACCTTAAAAAGCCATGGTCTTTTCGTTGCAGGAAAATGTCATTTTTCTATTTTCGGCCCCTAATTTTCCCCATGATGAAAAGGAAAATTCTGAAACCTCATCGAACATCTTAAAGGGGCTGGACACAGTTGCACTGTTTACAATTTTAAATGTAATTCTTATTAAAAAAAAAAAAATAACTTCATTTTACATGAATATTCTAAGAATTTCATGACAACGACATTCTTCATAACATCACGTCAAACACCTGTGTTTGTAAAGAGGGCACGAGCTCTGTTATTCTTAGTGTTTACGTTTAACCGGGTGTGTTCAATTTGTTTAGTCTGCACACATCACTGAGCACGGACTGACAATACTAGTGAGTTGGTTTTGCTTTCTTGCATTTCTACTCTGAACTTTCTAGATTACAATTTTCATATTTTTCATTAATACACAACAAAATTTAGACTTTTCTTAAGTATTATGGATAAAGTTTACTTTGTGAAAGTGCAAGGTTACGTGTCAATCAAACTCGTCCCGAAAATCATAGTTTTAGTAATTTCCAGATAAAAGAATTTTCTTAACACGCTTTTAATATATTTCGGTGTGAAATGCTCTAGCAACACATAAGCCATGATATTATTTAGAAAATTTTAGAAAATATGAACTTCAAATCTGTGTCCCAGTACTTTTAAGAACACAAACAATCATATTCCAATACAATGTATATGATTTAGGTTTTTTGTATAAAAAATGTTTTTTCGTCCCCGAAATGGCCTTCTATATGAAAATCAAAATTTTGAAACTTATTACACATCTGCAGACATTATTATCAATGACATTCAAAAAGGCGAAATTGCTACTGAGTAATCTCTCAGAAAATTCTGAGAACCAGATATCATTGTGTAAAATTTACCCCAAAATAGAATTGAAAAATCCAAAACCTGATTGCATAGCACAAGATACAAGATTTTGTTAGTCTAATTTTGGTTCCCGGAGGAGCAAAATATTTTTTTTAAAAAAATGAAGAAGGAGAATCAAAATGATAGAACAAACATGGTTTGCTGTTGCCATGGAATAAGTATTTATACATTACCGATTTATTTCTTTAAAATAAATGAGTTATATTCTACATGTATTACTTAGAAGTTTGTTTTTGTATCTTAAAAAGAATATTGTTTCGACACTTTTTAATTTTCCGCTTTTTATTTATCAAAACATCCAAATTTGTTGCTGGGCAACGGATAGGATTTTTCAAAAAACCAACGTATTGAAGTCAAACTCTAAAAGTGTTTTTATGTGAAATACATGCAACAACTGGTATTAATTTAAATTGATCTTGAATATTGTCAAAATCAAGAAAAAATCTGTATCAGCAGAGAGAGAGAGAGAGAGAGAGAGATGTAGATATATATATATAGATTCTAAAGTCTATCAAAGAACTATGTCTAAATTTAATATCAATGTCTTGTTTTGTTAAAACACGTAAAATGTGTATCATTATTATACTAGTAAATAAGAATAATTATAAAATTATTGATATTCAATTTTTAGCTATAGTATAAATGATTTGATTTCCATCCACATGGAAAAATTGATTGGTTGCTAGTGTCAATTGTAACCATGACCAAAAACACTTTCGTTTTACATACATGGATCATAGTGAAAGAGAAATCTATTATATGGGGTGTGATTTTCCATTTGTAGGAATATATCTCAGTTTTAATCACGTCATAGAGAGGCCACCCTGTTAAGACAGATTGAGTATTATGACACTATGTAATTTCTCTTTCTCTCTAGCTATTCCACATTATCGATGAATAATACATAAATTTAAATAATTGATCATCTATTATCAATTGTCCAATTTGCTTTATTAACAGCATATGCTAGATATTCCCAAACTGTTGCTTCCAAACTTCAATTATAAACAAACCATAGAGTGCCTAGATATTGAAGATCTAAAACAAAATCCTCTCAAGTGTTCTAAGACTTGCTCTTCTTCTTCTTCTTTCAATACATTCCCGTTGGGCATGTCGTTACTGATGATGTCAATATACAGTAGTTGAAAATGAAGATCTTAAAGCGATCATATTAAAAGGTCGTAAATACAAGGAGTTCCGATCAATTCATTTCTATTAAGAATTCTATGGAAGATTATGCCAACCGTTGGGCTAATTATGAAAAGGAAGATCTGAACACTTTGCCAGAATGGATCAAATGTTTTAGAAATATATTAAAGAATCGAATAAGAAATTTAAAAGGCAATATGCAAGCCATCTATCTTTCCGTTTTCACTAAATCGAATGTGACCAAAAAACTAGAAAGACTACATAAAAATATGGTTCAAGCTTGTAAAAATATCGTTTTTGTTTGCAAGGCTCATTATTATGACTGCATTTTCGAAGAACTTGGTTTTAATTCTACTTTTGGATATCCAACTTACTCCCAGTTTCACTTTCTAAAGATGACATTCTATAAAACCAAATTTCAGTATTTAAAACCTTTAACATTCCAATTAACGAAGGTGAGTTCGAGCTATCCTCCCTCTACTTGATTCCTAAACTTCATAAAAATCCTTACAGAGATACATTGAAGGGTCAAGCAAATGTTCTACTAAGCCCCGATCCTTACAAAAAATATTTACTGCTATTAAGGAGAAACTTCAGACGTACTGTGCTACAGCATATTCTAGAAGTGGTGTAAATCAGATGTGAATTCTCAAAAAATTTCAAAAAACATTTAGAAAATTTAAAATCGCCAAATTTTTCAAATGTCAGTAACATCAAAACGTACGACTTTTCAACAATTTATACAACCATTCCTCAAGATAAATGAAAAACTAGAATTTTTGATATCATAGATAACTGTTTCTTCAATAAAATGGAAATTGGAAAGTTTCCTCTATCTTGTGATTGGTCATCAACAAAATGACTTTGTTAAAACTCACTCTGATTCTATACACAAGTACTCTGAAGTTGATATAAGAAAGATGCTGGAGTCTCATTGACAACATTTATGTAGTTTTTGAAGACCAGGTCTTCCAATAAACTGTTGGAATTTCGATGGGCATTAATTGTGCTCCTTTATTAGCCAGCCTCTTTTTATATTCCTATGAAACAGAATTTATTCAAAAACTTCTGCATAAGATGAAGAAAATATTTGCTGTGGCCTTCAACTCGACATTTAGATATATTGACGATGTAATATCAATTAACCAGTTCTTTCATTTATATGTCGTTTTGATATATCCCAGTGAACTTGAAATAAAAGACACCACAAAGTCTGCCACATCTGTTTCATATTTGGATGTTTTACTGACTATAGACGATAAGGGACAACTAACAACTAAATTGTATTACAAAGGTGATGACTTTAACATTTTCATCGTCAACTTTCCTTATCTATAAAGTAAGATCCCGTTAACACCAGCATATGGTGTTTTCTTTACCCAACTTATTCGATACTCAAGAGCATACTCCGAGTACGATCAATTTTTAAACCGAGGAAGTCTACTGAAAAATAAGCTGATGTTGCAGGGATTTCAACAACCTTGTTTAAAGTCAGCATTTCGAAATTTTATGGTCGTTATAATGACCTTGTTAGCAAATATAGCCTTTCATTGGGTCTTATTTTGGCTGACTTGTTTCATACCTATTGTTAGGCTTATTATACAGAATTTGACTACGGAATGTGAAAAGACACCGAAGATCAAAGATTCCAAAACGACCAAAAGTGTTATTAGTATGTTTACTAATAGAAGATTCTACTTTTCAAATTTTTATTTGAAAATCATGATTCAAATTTAAATAAAAGACATTTTAAAATCAATATAATGCATAAATCATGACGATTTGAATAATGGCTTCCAATTACTTGTAAATGATACATAAACATAACTTTTCAAATACTTTAAAGTAAAGCTTAAGCTTGTTCGGGTTTACCTACAATTTTATACAAGCTTATAGACTGTATTACTGATATATTTTGGTTCAGATCTAAGAGCTGAGGATGTTTTTTTTAACTTTAATTTTCTCAACTTTATTGAAATGATTAATTTGGTTCGATCCTGATGTAGGAGTTCGGGGAACTGTTGGGTTTATATATATATATATATATATATATATATATATATATATATATATATATATATATATATATATATATATATATATATATATATATATATATATATATTTATATATATATATAGTGTGTGTGTGTGTGTGTGTGTGTGTGTGTGAGAGAGGGTGTGTGTGTATGTGCAATGATATAGTGTGCAACAAAGAATTATGAATCCAAGAAATCAGGACTTGTATAACGTTTTATTTCAATATGTCAAGAAATACGTACATGTCATGTGATATTTTGAAAGAGTCTTCGCATATACAATAACTCATCTTCAAGGTTTTTTTTTAAAAATCAGTGAAATATCTTTTGCATGATACATGTATTAACATATAAAGACAGACGGACAGGAACCTGATCAATGCATTTTAGCCTTTGGTATTCGACAAGTAGTGCATTTCTCAGTTTTAAACCATTAAATTAATTTAATATTAGCATGCAGAATCCAGACACCTCCCACTGCACCCGGAATTTTTTAAGTAATTTCTTAAGTAAAGTAACCCAAAAAATGACCTTGGACCCCCTTTATCAAAAGCGATTTGTCCTACCCCCCCCCCCCTCCCCCCGAAATAGAATTTACGGGTTTGGAGAAGTTGATAAAGTTTTTCTTTGCTTATCAAAATAATTCTGAGTGGGATTTTCTTTTTGAGTGTGTAAACCGCCCACCTCCAATCTCTGGAAAAAATCCTGGATCTACACTAGATCAGATTTCTGTATCAATTGTATTTTGAAGCTATGAGTTGAATTTTTATAAAGTCACCCAACTTATTGCTGAAACATTAAAAAAAAATTGTAATTTCTAGAATCACCAAAATCCTGGTTAAAAAGGCAAAATGTAAGTTTATCTGACGAGTATTTCTCTAACTTCTATTCATTTGTTCAATCCCCTGCCTAAAATGATATCATGGTATCGGTAGCGCTGTGTATATTCCACTTTTGAGAATGAGTGGATATCACAACGGACCATTACTGATGCTTAATGGAGATTTCCTGGATGTACCGGGAGCAGGAGAGGGAGCTAATCTTGCAGGACGGAGTGCTTTCTTACACATAACAATGATAGACAGGAACAAGACTTCTATGAGCTCGGAGAGCGTCAGTAGGCTGGCTCCCAGGAAAACACCCATCTGTCCTCCTATTGTTCCTTAAAAAAAATTCAAATTATTTCATTTTATGTTTTTTGCGAAAATATTTATACAATGTAGCAATTGTCTGGCTTAAGGTTAATTTCACGATTATAGATTCCAGTGCTGAATCCAATAATTAGACATAGATCGAGTAATCCATTAAGTAGAGATTCCATAACATTGTAAAGGATAAATCATCAATAATGAACGAACAATAGAGAACATAAACACTCACCCAGAATTTCAATGTATGTGATTTTCTGAATTTTCTCAAAGCTTTTATATACCAGACTTTCATAATATATCCTCACTTCCATGATGTTTTCTCTGAGAAACAAATGCATAGTGAAAACGACATAGATGATCATCATGTTAAATTGTTTAGAAATATGATTGAACAATTATCATGCATACTGTAGATTTATTAAGGTGCTGTTACCGGGAATCAAAACCAAACATTATTGATATAAGGTAAACATGCAGTAGATGGAATTTTAAAAGGAGAATGGTTTGAGGGTAAGTTCGAGTCCTTTATTGGGATGCTCACTCCTCCATGGCACCTGGTCCCACCTCTGGTGTTTCAGAGGTCCTGTTTGCTCTGCTCCGAAATATTGTATTGTTTAATGGACTTTTGAGCTTGAATACTGTTCGCTATTACCTTATATTTCATTATTTAAATAGATTTATCACATTTATTTGGAAAAAATCATCTGATACAGACTCATTTAAAAGAAAATCGAATGGGTCCTATTAAGACAAGAATACATAAGCCTTAACAGTTCCTTTTTTTAATTCTTTAAAGATGTTCAATTTTCAAAGGCCTCATGAACTAAAATTGATAATGTTATTTACATGGATTCAGCTGTTCTTGAAATTAATTCAAAGCCAATAAGTTCACAAATAACAAGTGTTTCTATGAAGCTGATTTGAAAATTAGTTTGTTATAGATACAAGATGGTGATTTGCACATAGAAGGTTTCTGATCTTCATGTCTTTTGTTAAGAAGATGGGCGAACACGGTGAGCAAAATGCCTTTTGTGTGAAAGGAAAAAAAAATGAAATCTCAATTATGACATAACATTAACGTATATTTTTTGTAAAATCTCCATAATTTGCATCAATCTCACAAACATTGAAATTATTCGGTCTAGTAAATAGCAAAAACACACCAAAGAAGGCAAAAATGATCATTTTTCATACTATATTACATTTTTTTTTCAATTTTTCTGGGCGCCTGCGTGGCGTAGAGGTTAGAGCGTTTGCTCTAGAGTCGCGGTGAAAGGAGTTGATCCTTACGTCGCGGGTTCGAATCCCACTGTGGGACGTGGAGACCGGTCCTTCGGATGAGACTGTATACACCGATGTCCCGTGTTGCAGTTGGTGCTGGCACGAAAAAGATTCCTCACTGCTCAATGTCCCTAAGTGAAGAGTATAGGTCAAAATTTGCAGCTCTCCACCGGCAAGTGGTGGCGTCTCCATATGGGTGAAAATTCTTGAGAGGGACATTAAACAACAAGCAATCAATTAATCAAACAATTTTTCTGTATGAGTAAATCTTCGTTTCATTTTTTTTTAAAGATTATACTCAAAGTAATGTAAAACTATTCATATTACGGTTAACAAGAACACACGGCAAAGATCCGCTATACCAAAAATACACATTTATGAAACAACATTCGTATCTTTCCGAGAAATATTTGAAGTCCATTTAGTCAAGGGTCATTTCACAAAAGAGCTATAAAGGGTAGTTGTGAAAAAAACTGAAACCCAAGAATACAACTTTTTTTAAATCATAAAATGATTTTTGCTGAAAGAATTTTTCCGCAGAAAAGCTTTGTCAGAATTTCATATTTTTCAATAATATGAAGTTTACTCTAAATACTACCTTCACAAACTGAATATAACTTTATACATTTGAAGCTATAGGCAATTTGCACGCCTTGTTCGTCCAGTTCCTTTAAGAAATTTCAGAATATTTCAATGCCATAGTTCTTGCATCACACACAACATAAATGTTCCCTATACTTAGGGTTTACCGTATGTCAGTGTACCCGAATGTAGCTTTGATCCAATCCTCGTACAAATTGGCCGGGAAATAAGCATTTGATATGTGTGTTTTATACTCAATATTTGAACAAGGAATCGGACAACCACACTCAATCTGGAGTGTCAAGTTTCCATCAAACTCTTCTGAAATTAAAATACCATGAATCAGACAATGAAAAAAATAATGCATTATACGTGAACTTATTTTGATTGAAACATTATACAAAGAGCATGTACTATTTTCATTATCAAAGTGTTAAGTGTAATATTTATTAGTTTAAAAAAAACCTGGTATGAAGATTTGTTGTTACATCTCAAATGAAATTAACAATAAGCCTTGTTACAATTTGAAGAGTTTGCAATCTTGAACTGAGTCTTGATATCTATTCAAACAACAGAAATGTGATACTCGCCCCTTGCTGGCTTGTGACAGTGATAATCTCTCTCGATAGAGCATATTGGTTCCAATTGTCCTATTGACAAAAAGGGTGGGTAAAAAAAAAGCCAATAACTCACAATCAAGACAGTGAAACACTGCCAACAACAGAGATATAGTTTAGGCTAAGATTTATCGATAAAATGTCTTCATAAAAATTCTGTTATATCATGCATAAATCAATGTGTTCATCTTACCTAAATCATGATGACTACGACATGAACATTTCTGGAAAGCAAACTTTTCTTTGCATTCCCGCAGACAACCACTGTAACTATACAGTCTATGGTGTTTCAAATTGTTGATAAATCCAGCTTTATCAACATCTTCGCAGTATTCATTCCCAAATGCCTTGAAAGGATGGGGAAGGAATTTGTACTGCAATAACACGTTATTTATATATATTTTTTCATTTACTCTTTAAGATATGTCAAGTTACTTTAGATCAATCGACATTTCGCACCAAATTCTTATGATCAAAAAGAACAGTCTTGGTAATAATTACATAACCGTACATTGCATTGAAAAAATATAATTTGCCCTTTCGAAATCAAATTAATCTGAACATTTCTTTTTCCTAGATATCAAAAAATATTTCAATTTAAAGTCAATTATGAATTTCTACTACATGTAGTTTAACGTGGAACCTTTGTCATCTCTAAAGGCATGTAGGTTGTGAATCCTGGAGAAATCAAGAATCCAGAATTCATGATGTTTGGCTCCTCATTGTGATCGTGGATCACTAACTGTAAATTCAATAAACATGGATCACAACCTTTAACGTCACAATAAACATGAATTACTAACTGTAACGTCACAATGAACATGAATTACTAACTGTAACGTCACAATAAACATGAATTACTAACTGTAACGTCACAAAGAACATGAATTACTAACTGTAACGTCACAATTGTGACGGTCAGACGGGTTCGATCGCCGGTGGCCAGATAGCTATGTTGGTAGAGCACCTGACGGGAGATTCAGGGAACACGGGTTTGAATACCGGTCTGGTCTGTTTTATTTTTTCTCCTCTCCTGTTACATTTGGATCCTGGTCGGCACCAGATGTCACAGGGGAGGAGAAAATGCGTTCCCGGATTCTCCACCCAAATCATGTAACAGGAAAGGAGAAAATGTATGGCTGGACAGGGAATCGAACTAGGGACCCCTGAATCACTAGTCAGGTGCTCTACCAACTAAGCTATCCAGGCCGATTTCCACGGCCGAAACCATTACATTCCTCCCTCCTTAAATTGTCTTGTCCTCAAAGACACAACCCAAGTTCTTTTTGCCCCTGGAAGGACTTAACCTGCAAGTCCAGGGTCAACGGCACCAAATTATGTAACAGGAAAGGATGAAATGTATGACTGGAGCGGGAATCGAACCTGGAAACATGCCTGTATCGCTGGTCAGGTGCTCTACCGACTGAGCTATCCAGGCCGATATCCACGGTCCAAACAATTAGGCAATAAACATGGATTACTAAGTGTAACGTCACAACAAACATGGATGACTAAATGTTAAGTCCCAATAAACATTAATTACTAACTGTAAAGTTACAATAAACATGGATCAATAACTGTAACGTTACAATACACATGGATTACTAACCGTAAAGTTACAATAAACGAGGATCACTAACTCTAACGTCAAAATAAACATGGATTATTAACTGTAAAGTCACAATAAATGTTGATTACTAACTGTAAAGTCACAATAAACGTGGCTTACTGACTGTAAAGACGCAAAAAAACATGGATTACCAACTGTAAAGTCACAATAAAAAGACGTACTCTTCAGATGTCTTATTTATAAGCTGCAATTCAGTGTTAATCATAACTCTAGTAGATATATAGAAAGTTACAAATATAATATAAATAGGATGAATTCTAACTGTTAACATGACAGTGAAAATGGGTATAATTATATTCCATATGATATCAAGGGCATATCAAGGTGAGAAGAAACGTTCTTGTTTTACAGGGAATCATATAGAAGTTCTGGTTCCATTCTTTTCCGACTGAAGAGAGACGACGCCTTTAAGTGATTTGATTTTCTGATTTGATTTCCTTATTTGTTCTTATTTGAACATATGTACCTTTACTATGGAACATTTCTGACAAAAAGAAAGCTGGAGAAAGACATTTAGTTCATAAGAAAGTTTTACCTTGATTCCTGCCCCCATGTTTCTAGCGAAGACATAGTCACTTTGATTGATATGCAAGTACATCGTCAATCCCAGAATGCTTCCAGTGTAATGTGTTCTTCTGGGTTCCCTCGTATCAAGACCATTGAAGGAGAAGCATAGTCCCCACTCAGTCTTATACGGAGTGAACAACTTGGTACAATCGAAGTATACCGTTTCCTTCCATTTACATGCAATAAACATGTCGCTTACACTGTAACTAATGTTAACCAACCAATCTTCCGTACCGTTCTCATATAACGGTAAATACTTGGGATCACTGAAATTCAATGGTGGAACAAAAGATCCAATATTACTGCCTCTCTCTAAATAATCCATTGTGGCCTCGTCCGGATTTAACTTTGACATTTTGTAGGGACTAATATTACATACAGTTACAGCGGGAAAAGTTATCTCTTCCTCCATTTTGATGTTTAAAATTGTCAACGTTGGGTATGAGAAATATTCCAGCTTGAGGTTATATAAAGTTAATGTCAGCGAAATCCCCATGACTATCACGAGAATAAACCAGATTATCCTGAAATCAAACAGTACCAGATAATACTAAAATCATGAAACCAGATCATTATAATCATGCCAAATTTCTCAATGATATCTTAAGAAACAAAAAAAAGTTATGTCCAAAAAATATGCTAAAAATGTCGGGAGTGCAACACCTTTGTGTGACATTTTGAAAATTCCATTTTTTTTTTTAAGATCTGTTTAATAACAAATAATGGTTTATGTTGGAAATAAAAAGTTTCCTGGTTAAATTCAATGTATTGAGTTTTAAATCTAGACTAGTAACTTTTGCTTGATCAAGTAATGGTCACTGCTGATACTAAAAAAATGATATCCCATGTCAGGAGTGCAACAGATAAAATGTAATGATGCTAAAAAATATTGAATTTAAAAATCTGTATGACAATTAAGTCAAAAAAGAAATTTTGAAATTGTATGACAATAACCGATAGACCATTAAAAGGTATGGTACCCTACGGCTTTCCATAAAAAGGTTTAAAATGTTATATAAATCACAAGCAGCATTAACGACAGTCAAATATCTGAGGGTACCCATTTATGTGAGGAGTAAAACATTTGATGTTCTAACTTGGAAAACTTTCATCAGTATATAATGTTTTGCATTCTATTTTGAAAAATAAAGACAAAAGGAACATATTTATCGAATAAATCTATCATTTACAGGACCTGTCTTGTTTCGGTGGAAAAAAGTGGCTTTTAATTTGCTATTTAACATTAACATTAATTGTCGCAATTCTGGTTTGAAAAGTTTTGATATGAAAGAACTATGATGTAATAATTTCTCCAAAAATTACTTTTTTGTCAATTTAGTCATTTCTTCAAATCTTAGCCAAAGCAGAAGTTTGATATAACAAGTTTTTTGTTTTGTTTTGTTTTTAATAAAATATTAGATTTTAAAGTGACCCTATTTTACCTTATTTTGTTGCACCCCTGATATCTGGTATGGTTTTTTTTTTTTTTTTTTTTTTTTTTTTTTATCAAACATTGTTAAAACAATTCTAACACACAATATCTCATTCTTATTTTGTAAAACAGTTCTTTGTTAATATTTTTAATCATTTACGGAAAGTTTTAATATTTGACTTCAAAATATGCTTAATTGCTTATGTATGAAATATTTTTAAAAAATATGTGTCTGATGATGAAAATTTTCCGCAATTTTCCTCTAAACGCTTGCAGATATTGAGCTGATTTTTGGTATGTGACTTAACCTTGATGATTTATAGATCAAGTTTGCATTTCGTTTCGCTTCATTGATTTTTGAAGAAATTATGGCAGTTTCAATTTTTAACGGGAACCAGATTACACATGCCGGTAGGGGACTAGTATTGCTAATGCAATACTCTCAGAATGCTTGTTGATTTACATAATGATTTCAACTTGAATAGTATCGAGCATTATTTTATTATATATTTTGTAGTATAGAGATGGAGTACATTGACAAAACAGTTTTGTTGCACCCCTGAGTGCAGTAAGATTTAAAATTGAAACCACAAAACACAAAAATTCATAAAATACCCATATTTTCTTTTTTCAAATGTTCTGCAAATAAATATTCTGAAACTTTTTAATGGATTTGTCAATCTTATTTTAATTACGGAAATTTTAACTAGAATGTATATACAATATGATGTTATAATGATGTTATAATTGAAAGATAAGTTATGACAAGTTGATTTTTTTTTAAAATCAATTTGCTGGTCATCATTTTTTTAATTCATCTTGAACCTTTTTTTTTTTTTTTAGAATTGATCACCGTTTCACTAGAGTGCTTAATTTCCTGTTATCCTTTGATTTATAAATGTAAGTATAGATATGAGGAATTTGGAAATTCAAAAATCATTCTGTGAAAATTTAGTGCACCCCATACCTACTTGTATTTAGGCTGTTACTCGTGTAAAAAGGGGAGCACTAAATACTACAAAGTAAATTATCAATGTGAATATAAAATCCTTACTAATGATAAAATATTATATAATAAATTATATAAATAAATAAATTATATAAATATAATAAAATGACGTTGACAATAATATATTCATTTCCTATATATATATATATATATATATATATATATATATATATATATATATATATATATATATATATATATATATATATATATATATATATATATATATATATATATATATAATTCTGCTTTCTTACCCTCGAACAAAAGTTCTTTCCTTTGAGATGTGAGAGAGTCCGTGTAAAGATGAGGAATCCCTGAACTGCCGCCAAAGACCACGAATAGAGTTATCTGATGGTTGTAATGACGTCATTTCTGATCTTTCCAATGATGTCATTTCTCCTCTTTGTGGGAAGTGTTTTTCCGTGTGTTGGTATGTTATTTTCAAATCATATTTCAGATTTAATCATTTCATAGACAAGCCTCTCTGTTAACACAGATTGAGTATTATGGGACGATGTTATCTCCCTCTTTCTCTCCAGTTATTCGACAGAATCGATGAATTGGACACTCAGTTTCAATCACCGATCATCTATTATTAACTGTTCTACCACTTAACTTGATTGACATCATATGCTATAGTTCTACTGAAATAGAAATTTCTAGCGATATATCAATATAATCAATGTCTCCATTGGAGCGGTTATTTTCAAAGAAACATTTGATACGTTACCTGTTTGCAGAGATATAGAGGGTTTTTTAAGGACATACGCAACGTAGTTTGAACTTTATTGTCTTTTCCCCTGGAGTTGAAGAGTTCCAATACTTAAAGGAACTGTGTGCTACATTTTGATGTCTATATATGCTATTGTACACTTCTTCTAAAACAAGTTTGGATAAACAAAATATCTAGAATATATGTTTAGTAATTTTTGTATATTTTTCTTTGAATTATACAAGAATTTCCATCAATTGATATCTTTTCAAAACCCCTGGTAACGCATGCTGATTTATTGTCTACAAACATCTGATGGCACTATAATCTTAAATTAAGAATATCTCGAAAAATTATCAGTAGGTAAGGTACGTTGCGTATATCCTTAAAGAGTTACCCTTCTTTTATCTCCACAATGCCATTAAATGCCAGCTAATGCACCTCTCGTAATCATCCAACATATTGGTAAAGCCAGAGGCAAAGGGATCAGCTTCTTACACAGATATACACTTTCTTTCTAAATCGAAAAGTTTCGGTTAGTGAATTTATACTGACTGACTCATTATTACAAACATTTATAGATAAATGTTTTCAAATTGTTAACAGTTAATGATATCTTTGTCGGTAAACGACAATTTATTTGTCCTTTGTTGCACAGAATGAAGATCAAAGATTCCGAAGATTTTAATGGTGTATTTACTCAAAAAATATTCTACAATTTTTTTAAAGCTCGTATGTTGAAATCAGGGTCCAAGTTCCAATTAGAACAAATTTTAAAATGATTTTAATGCTTAAACCATAAAAGCTTGATAATGACTTCCAATTACTTGTAAATGATATATATACGTAAATGGTTATACAAATGATTAGAATTATAATTTTTTTACTTTACAATTTGTCTGTGTCCAGATGTATCTGATAATACGCTGTATTTTTACAAGACCTTGATAAGCACATAGTGTTTCTGATTTCTATTGTTTCAACTTTCTTTAGATTCATCCTTTGAATACTGCCCCTCCCCCCAACTTTTTTGGAAGTAGTTTTTCTCCCTATGAGGGAAAACTTCTACATAATAGATTTTCCACCATAGTAGAGTTTCTCACCTATTGATAAAGAAAATTCAGAAGCAAATATAGGGCCAAACACAGAGAGGTAAAACGCAGCATGAGGAATAACAGGAAAAAGTGGATAGAAAACATGAAAACAGAAGCAGAAAGGATAACCAACCAGTAATGGCCACATGAAAACGGTGTATGAGATAATAAGAGTGCTAAGTAATGAAAGGAAAAGCATGACAACAGCAATAAAGGACAAAAAGGGCAAGATCCTGAGCAGTCTATATGGAAGTATAAAACGGTGGAAAGAGCACTTTGATGAATATTAAACTGTCCACAACTTGAGATGCAATAGATGAGATGGACACTGGTCCCATACGGAAGGATAAAATCGTCAAAGCTGTCGAAATTAAATAGTGGAAAAGACGGAGCAGTTGATGGGATAACAGAAGAAATATTAAGGCAGACACAGAGACAACAGTTCGATACTTCGAAAAGTTTTTCATAGTTAAAAGTATTTGGAACAAAGAAACTACCATCTCTGTGGAGTAAAGGTCCGATCGTGAAGATTTCAAAGAAAGGTGATCGATCGATATGGGACAACTTCAGAGTCAGCACTATTTTATCTGTGCCAAGCAAATTATTCTCTAGAACAGTGATACAAAGGATTCAAGGCAACTGTGGAAGGAACAAGCCGGCTTTAGATCAGGGAGGAGTACAATCGAACAACTATTTACACTTGGTAACAGCATAAAACAATGTACTGAGTTGAAAAGGCATTTGATTCAATTCACATAGAAATCATTTGGTCTATCACGAAGATTTTTAGCATTCCAGACAAACTGATAGAATGGTTCAACATTTTAGGTCACCTGAGCCATCAAGTGACCTATTGCTTTTTTCTTTTGTCGTCTTGCGACGCGTGCGTCGGACGTGAATCGTAGACTTGCGAACATTTTCAGCTTCTTCTCTTGAACCGCTGAATCATTTTCAACTAATTTTGGTATATGGCATCTATGGACAAAAAGGGAACAAAAATTGTGAATTTCATGGTTTCTGTTTCCTTGGGTCTGAGGGGTTGGGGCCAAAACCATCAAAATTAATGCAATCTTCAAAAATATTTTTTAAATCTTAGACAGCAAGCAGTCAAGCGTTTGGCTTATTATAATAAGCTACCAAAATTGCAAAATTCATGGCTTCATGGTCAAGGGTTCTGGAGTTAGGGTTATGCTCTATTGTTCAAATACGGAAAATGCATAAATTCTTAAAAAATCTTCTTCTCTTCTCCTAAGTATTTAGCAAACAATCTGTGTGCATAGTTATGATGAGCAAGGGTTCCTCTTCTAAAATTGTGAAATTTGAGGTCCCTGGATCAGGGGTTCTGGATGGGCTCTGTTGGTCATGTAGTGAAAATGCATTAATTCTTTGAAAATCTTCTCTGTTCATGAGTATTTATCTCGAACTCGATGGGACAGAGAAATAACTTTGAGCTTTGAGATATCCAAGGATTCGAGATACCGAGGGTTAAATAATAAGTAATTGGAACTTCAAAATTACTTCGGCATATCCATGGTATTCGAGATATCGCTTTTCGAGATACCAAAGTTCAGCTGTGTAGTAGGTTTTCCCTGGTATTAATCTGACTATAAAAGTGGGAGGGAATCCCACTTTTTAGCTAGCTTCCCGAATTCGTTTTGGGGTGTCTGATGGCTTTGGGGAAAAGCTACCTACAACACCGTCCTTAGAGATACCAAGTTATCAAAGCCTGAAGGATATTTATAAACTCAAAACATTTAAACTTTAAAAAATTCGGTTGATTAATGGACGATATGGAGAACTTTTGATATTAGATAACAGAATATAAAGAAAAGACGCAACTAATCGACACAGGTATTCTACATGGACAGGAAATGTTAACTTGCACCTGCTCAAGTTCAATGACAAAATGATAACAAATCTGAAATCAACGCGATACCGGATGTGACAATTAGTAAAAGTAAACTTATAAATTTCAAAAGTGGCAGAAATATTGTTCAAGTATTTCAATATTCTTGACGCTCTGTCAATTAGAGTATATGTCTGGAAACGTGGGCGCCACGCGTTTCTCAATAAGTAACACGTTTATGACAGCAATTCTTCCATTCCTGTAAAAAAATTTATAAAAACAGGATTAAAACAGATAGACTTTCTATCTCGTTTTTGTACATGAAAAAACGGCACAAAGAGAAACATATTACCGGTATTAATTTATTCGTTCGAACTTAACACATTTTATAGACTTTGCTTTCGATCCAAATTCAAAATTTAGTTGAAAGGAAATCTTTTAAAAATAGCAACAATGAATTTCATTGTACCATTTCAATCAATCCTCAAAATTCAGGTTGCGAGAGTAAAAAAAAGTGAAAATCCAGCTTTTAAATAAAGCTGAGCGTTAATGATGTTCATTATTAGCGGTCAGTTTAAAAATCTAACCGGCAAACAACGGCTAACTACATCATGTCGCTGTTCTGCCCACCGTGGACAGATGTAGAATTAAACAATCTTCTTCTTAAGTGGTAAATGGATAGTGACAATTCGATGTTTTGGAAACTGACCATAGCTGAAGGGTCCTAATTATAGGTCTCCACAGGAAACTTGTTAGTGACCAGTAGGGGTGGTTTTCTGACGATGTTGCAATTCTGACCAATTGTCAACAACTCAAGCAAAAGGGTAATTACAGAACGACTACTGATCCTAGGATATTGTGAACAGTTGCCTTGTTATAAGTACTCTTATAATAATAGAGGTCAAATGTTTGTAGTGTTATAAAGATTGACTTTTGGGGACTTTAACACTATGGCTCGGAGATTTTCCTATACAAAAATATACGGAAACATCTACATGTATACATTTTTAAGTGAAAGGGTCTCTCAGATCTTTTTGGAACGTTACATACAATATAGTACTGGTTTCTATAGAAAATGCAATAGCTCTCAAGATTCCATAAATTAAGTAACAATAATCAAATCATTTCTGTGCAACTTTGTTGTTAGAAAAGTATGTATCCTCTCTCTTCAACTGACCATATGATGTCCAGAGGTTATACGCATTTATTCAGACATACTGAATGCATAGCTATCAAGGGAAGTATGGAAAACTAGTGTAGATATAATAGGAACACAAAGCACGATCTGTTTTTAATCATTTTCTCAAAAGTATCAAATCTGTTACCTTTTTGCATTTGATATAAATATATAGATAATTTGACTTCCTACATGGGGGAGTAAAGAATATTTTTAATATGTAATACCCCTTATCAAAGGCAGGGTAAACAATAGGTTAGCAAGAAAACTAGGACAGCCCGTTATTTCACTTTTAGAATAAACCTCCCATCAACTTATTGCACGGGTAAAATTATAAAAAGTACGACACTTTCAAAAGAACGCGAAAAATGGGTGCCAACTTGCTGAAACCTGATTCCAAAAACCTGTTTCATTTTTGATACATCGTCTCACCTAGCACATTTTGTGTCAAATTTCTGTCATTAGCGTGCATATTTTATCATAAAATTTAACTTCACATAATGAACAAATCTGAGATTTCGATGATTAGTGGGTCTGAAACCCGACTCAAACTGTAAATATCCAATATCACCCTTATCTAAGGCAACCTGGCCTCAAGTGCGCATGTCAGTGTACGATTGCTGCCAAGACATCCCAAGGCTACACGTGTCCCTTTAATACTCCTATTCGGGGTGGCTCTGCTCTTCACCTTCTTATATTATTACAGCATTTCTTGTTGACTTTGATATCATATTATTTACTTTTCGTTATTCTGAAATAATAAGGTAAATATTCCATATACAATCGTGTTAGTATTCTTTCGGTACTGATTCAAAACACATGAAGAAGAGACAGGATGGTATGACACACATTTTGTGTATTTAAAGTGCAGAAAATATTTGTCATAGGCCGGTAGAGTCCAACAAATATTTTTGTGTCATTATCAAACCTTTTACTTTCAATGCCAATTTCAAAGCTGTTTCTAAGTGAAGTTTATATGCTCTTATCGGAAAAGTTAGCGCGTGCGCTATATATTTGTTTTATACAATACGAAGTACCAGGTTGTTTTTGATCTTCTAGTAGAAAGGTATGTATGAAAGAAACTCTTCTTCAAAGGAAGCAGGATTTTATTTGTAATGAGGCTCTCGACGTTAAAATCGTAAATTAACAACCCTTTTGTAGCAAATGCGATCATACTCCTCATTGAATTTATTGCATTTCTCTGCAAACAAACACTCTGGTTAGTTCGTCTGTTAAAGACTGCGTCAAAATACACAAGGTTGCAGATCACAACGTTTATTTAAAAATAATAACAATTGTAAAAATTTCAGAATCTATGTACAAAATTACAAATATAAATCAGCTTATTCTTGTAAACATGAACACAGTATGGTATATGATAAATCCATGGTCTATGTTTGGTTCTGACATTTTACAATGTTCTGTACAATAGAACCTCTTGTTAAATAGAGGCAGTATATATAACTCTCTCTCTCTCTCTCTCTCTCTCTCTCTCTCTCTCTCTCTCTCTTCACATTTTCCTATGTAGATATGTCTGATGCTTTTGAGCACTTTTGCCGTATATTTTATTATATTTGTACATTTTGCTTTCCGCCTTTAGTCTCAAACTGTCATATTTCACTGTTTTCCAGTTCTGGAATCGATAAGGTTGAGCTTTGTTAGCAATGATGAGAGGTTTTTCTTCACAACTGGAATCTGAAACACAAATGATACACAACACTATTTAACTTATTAACTACATAAATTGTACACTTCTATGTGCTTTAATGTTAATGTAAAGAGTTATATTTTATTGCATATATTTTTACAGGAATCGAGCATTTACCTGGTGCCTCCCAGAACTGAATGGTCAGAAGCGTATGTTTTGTAATCCAGTCCTTTGTCTGGTGAAGACGGTCACAATTCCAGAGAGCAATATGCCCCTTAGGTTTATTTCCAAATTTCGTATACGTTATTATTTCCATAATTCCTTGTTTTCCCCAGAACTTCCGTTTTGTTGCAATTGGGTCCTTGTCATGCAATACAGAGATACTGGGGTATCCATACTTGTCTGCCATGTACGGTCCAAAAGCTAAAGGATGAAACAAATATTGCAGATTGTTTCTTCCAGATACACTGTCTTTGCCGTGTTTAGATAAATGGATAGGAGTATACCCAATGGAGTATACACCTCCTATCTTATTAAATGTAAAAGACATACGCAGCGCGCTGGTATCGTGTAAGAGGTCCGTTTTATTACATCCTATAGTATGAACGATTCTTTTGTGGGAAAAGCGTCCTCCAAAATGTTTATAACCTGGATAGTGATTTAACAGCTTACTGAAAGATGGAATAGGAATCTGAAAAAAAGAAAGATTAAGGTATCAGTCTCAAAGTATGCTTATCACAGTTAAATCCTCGGAGAAAGAAAGTATTTTCTTTCTGTATAAAAATAATTTTCCTGTTTCAAAATGACTAACCACTTACCGTTTTGCTACATGAAGCCACCACATATAAGAGAAACATCAAAGATATTTTCAGATAATCCATGGTGGTTTTTTAGATAACACTTTGCATGTTGAATGTAGATAGGTTTACTTTCTCCTGCCTCGTGCCTTGATGACGTCAATGCCACGCGATCAGATCTTCCGCCAGTGGACTATTCCACGTGCCAAAGTGATCTGACTTTGGTATTTTGGTTTTTCCTACGTCTAAGTTGTACCTTTTAATTTAAGCCCCGCCTACTAGAGTGTGCCCAACAGCATACATTATGTTTATTCATATTTTGATTGGTTGACTGGTTGTAATTGCCATTTACGAGGAACACTACCACAGTTCGTTTTCCTGCGGAGTGATTATTGAATCCTAACTAACTATAAACCACAAAGCTGCAAATCTTATAAAAGTTCCCCATTTCCACTGTTAGTATATAGGAGCTGCAATCTGTTTACGTAATAAAATTATGGGTCTTATTTTTATGGTACTTCTTTTCATTTAAAAATGCTTAAAAGATTATTTTCAGTAAACTGTTATCATAGATAAAACAATGCATTTCTTAAGCTTTAATATATATTTGAAAATTAATATAATGCATCATTTTTCTGCATCTTTTTTTCTATGCTTACAAGGCCAGAATTCCTGGTGGAAGTGGAGCAGGGGTACATTTTGTAACACTCAAGAAAACAGCAAGACTGTTAACCGCCGCTTCAAAATTAAATATTTCTCAAAAAGGTTTTGTTATTGTATATGTTTTCAACGACAATATAAAAAAGCAGCCATTAATTTTTCCCGCTGTGAGGAAAATAAGTGGGAAGACCAGGCTGACAGATAAAATATATGATACCGATACTTGAGAACCGCTGCAGAAATCTTAAATTGATATTTTATTCAGCAATTGTGTGTGCTTCAATTGTTTGATTGCTGTCATTTCTTTGTAACACAAAAGAAGAACGTGTAATGTTACGGTAAGATGCTTGTGAAATCATGTTAGATTAAAGGGCAAACTATGGATAAAATATTAAGATCTTGCATAACTTACAAAATGACTGGATCTTTTTCATTTATGCCTAAAACAAGAAAATCTAGATGATGTTTGAATTTTTTAAAAACACTTTTAAATCATTCTTTCCTATGATCATTTTAAGGGTGTAAAATCTTTTGCGACATCTGCTTTGAACGTTGTTTATTTTAATACACGGTCCTTCGTAATCTGGATTTAACAAAAATCCACCACGTTACTTTGGAAACTTTGAAGTAAATGGCCTTATCATGTACAATATTACATTCCCTCTAGCCAGATTTAGAAAAGAAATCTCTGTCTTCGTTCGATATATTTAAAAAAAAAACACCCTATAGTAATTGACGTTTAGCTCAGACAGAACTTAATGGTTCGTCCTTGCACAACTCAAATAAACAAAAACCTTTTACATTAAACTCTTAAATTTACTTTTAACAGATGTACAGAACAGCATTTATTTAGAACTAAAGAGATATTTTCATAGCTACCTTTTAGGGTACTATTTGCTTAAGGTCACGTGATATGGTGAACCTCTGTATTATTCCTCGCCCCATTTCGTCAAACTTCCTATTTCTCCTGTCTATTGTAAATCCCCTGATAAGACTTAAATTTATTAAGTGCAGACATTTTAAGATTTTATTGTAAAGCATCATTTCTTCGTTATAAAATTATGAGATTAAATGGTAATAAAGGGCTAGGCATCAGGCTGATAAGAGAATTAATCAGTACTTCTTTCTGCTTAATTCTATTTATCCTGTGAGCAAATAAGAAATAATATCACTGCAGAATTGTAAGTCTTCCTTCCTCCTCTTACCTCTTCAAGTTTTTTTTCTTTTTTCTGGAGTTTTGACAATAAGACAACTGGTATATTTGAACACCTGCCTCCGAGGCCTTTCTTACAAAAACCACCCATTCATTCCGCATTCACAAAAAAATCTTGACAAGGTTTTTATAGGATAATTTCTTCTCGTTATATCGAGTTGCAAGCGATTCCATTATGCAACTGAGCACTTTGCACACACAATTGTGTGAAGAACAATTTGTAAATTGCTGTCTAGTAAAGGGGGTTGAACCCAACAGTGCCTTAACAATGATGTCTATTTCTGATCCCAAATGCATTTACACCTTTTTGTGATTTTTCAAATATTTGCTTAATAGCAAAAGAAACTTGAATTCGAGAAGTAAAACATACTATTTCCCGCCATACTGGCGTTTTCTGGCCGTTAGTTATATACCTTATATAAAACAGTTTAATTACTACTTTGCCAGTTTACATTTTGTCGCAGAAAATTATATCCAAAATCAATATGATTAAAGGTGTGACAGATGCAAACATTCTCAGAAACAGTTTTATACATTCTTACAATAAAAAAAGAAAAGAAAATAGGGGGCGTGATATTTCAACTTAAGGACATCTGAACTGTAAAATGGCCTATTAGTTTCCGTTTTTGTCCTTCGTCCGTCGTTCTTGATGTTTAATTACTTTCACTATATTCTCTGAAACAAACGGGGTACTTATGACTAACGTCGATAAATACCCTCTTTGGGTGAAGGGAAACCAAAAAAATCGTAAAGATGATAGGCGAACAAGGCGAGCGCAATGCCAAATTTCACTTCACCACCCCTTGAGTCCTAAGGAGTTTGGAACAAACCTGCTAAAACTTACTTTTTAAACAAAACGTGTACCATAAAAAGCAATCAATCCTTTACCAAAATTGTGAGAATTCATACCTTCTAAATCCAGGCTTAATGAACTGAAAAAGCTTTTTCTTTTTTAAACCAAATGACGTGTTAATCACACGTCGTAGTTTACATAATAGTTGCTGCAGTGTTACAGTGCAAAATGTAATAACGACGCAAATGTAATAAACTCGATTTATTACTTTTTGTGTTATTACAATTTGCATCGAGATCAATGTAATAATATGAAATGTAATAACACACTTTTTTGGATAATTACATTTTGCATTATTACTTTTTGCGCTGAGATTAACGCAAAATGTAATAATGGTGGTTCATATCTTTAATCAAGTAATCAAATACCCGCCACTCGAGTTAAGGAAATATGATTGATTCAATAAAAAAAAAACCCACTTCTTTCTATTTCAGTCTCTTTTATAAATGTATTTTGTCATTTTTCGACGTGATGTTTTGCGTTAACAATAACCAAAAAGTTTATTCTATTTTGCTTTATTACATTTTGCGTTCCTCTAGACCCAAAATGTAATAAGATATGATAATTGACTTTCATACATAAACATTCCTTAATATTTTGTCCTTTTCCCAAAGTAATATAACATTTTCTGTTGATATATATTATTCGTGATCCGAGAAAAGTTTATTAGGAGACAAAATGTAATACTATAGTAACTCAAAATGTGCTTTTATCTCCACAATTAAATGTAGGAAATATAAATCATTGCTATCAATAAAGTTTTCAAATTTCACCCCCTTTCCCAAATTTTTCAAATTTCCTGTCGATGTACGTTTATCAATACTTTTTCTGTTAAAATCCTTGTTTGCTGACTTAACAGAATGATAACCATATTTTCACAATTTTTAAAGTTTTCTTGTTTTGAATTATACATGTACCTCAGAATGGTTTTTATATAAATCGAATAAGTTTGTTTTCCAATAGTTCTACATTTCGCGTTGTTAAAGAGTTTCTGGTAGCACCTAGGTAAATGGTTTCTCCCTGAATTTTGGAGGATATACTGTTTACCTCCCGTAATATGGGTAATTATTTAATTTTTTGTTAATAACATTCTTGAGTGCATCTCGGCATAGAATATTAGGAACACAATATGTTAATATATTTATATATATAAATCTTTTTTTACTATATCCTATTGACATTCTTTTTGAAATATGGAGAATTATTATTTAAATCAATCAACAATGATATGTAAATCTTATTATTAAAACCCAAAAGTGCGTTATTACATTTTGAATTTAATAATGCAACATGTAACAATTCAGAAGGTATTTTATTACATTTTGGCTGATTACATTTTGCGTTAATCTCGACACAAATAAAATAACGCAAAATGCTATAATCCAAAATGTGTCTTATTACATTTTGGATTATTAAATTCTGCGTTTTTATATGTAATAGCGCTTTATGTAATATTCCGAATTTATTACATTTTGCATCGTTACTACATTTTGCGTTGTAACAGTACAGTTTTAAAGAAAACTTTTACCAACTAATTTTTTTCTTTGTACCTGAATGATTTACACGTCTAATAAGATACTCGTAAATGAAGGAATAAAAATATTTTTAACAATTTTACTTTTTCAATGACCAATTTTTCTAGAACAAACGCACAAGTACACCGGAATACACGTCCACCTCATTACAGAGGGCCAATTTAACAAAAAGGTGAAAACCATAATCAAATTTCATTTTAATGATCTATGACATTCACTTGACCTCCTGTCTGACTGTAAATAAAATTTCTTGCAAACAAAGCAGCTCCTGAAAAAGGACCCGTTGAAATGAATGCAGACGATAATAAGGAAATGAGAGCACAGTCTCTAATTTTCCCCTTAGTGTAACTATCACCGTTTACTGGTAACCTTTCATTATAATTCCCAGTATTTTACATGACATTTTGATGAACTGTGTGCCCTCTTTAAATGCTCCTGAGTAAATTACTATTTTTGTTGCCTCCTTAGTTCTTCACTACACTTGGGTAGCTTTTTCCATAGAGCACACTGCTTCTTGTACCCCACACACGAACTTCACAAAGAGACAAACGACATAGCATAGTTTCGTTTTAATGATTATTAAACTAGACATACACACTAACACACAAAATAGATGACTATATCCATTTAATTTTTGTTCCTTCAAACTTTTGCCTTGGTTATACACAGAGTCCACGCAGTACAATTTGGTTGTCGATCAGACATTGTCAGACTTGAGATTGCCCTTCGCCTTCATTTGTCAACTCTGTAACTGGATAAAATAATTCAATTTAGTTCTAATGTTCTAAAATTATTACCTACGTTACTTAAATTTCATGAAATTGCAAATCATTCACATGTATATGCATACCTTTTGAAAATGAATACTGTTCCCTTCCTTCTACAAACGCTTCCCGATTTTTATATCTAGTTCTTATGAAGCAGAAAATACACGTCAACAAGGCAAAAAACAGCACACAAAACATTAATAAGATGACAGCCGCCATT